ACTTGGTATGATTATAATGTGTACAGAGGTCTAAGTTATTAAATTTGTAAATGCAACAGAAAATTAAATATAAGGTTAAAAAAACTGTTATTTCCCCCAAGGTCACACAGATAAATGTGCATGTCCACCCAGAGACACGACACATGATGCCACATGCTCACTACCCTGGAGGGAAGACACACAGATGTGGGAGGACATGTAGTAGCCCCACTCCTACAAACATGACACACAGAGAGAGCTGTGCTACTGAGGCCGAGGGCAGGGTCTGTGGCACAGGTCTGGTACAGCTGATGAAGGAAACCCTCCATGTCACCACTCGGTGGTGGGCACCCAACTCTGCGCATTTGTTAGAAGTTATGACATTAACTTTAGGCTCTATAGCAAGTCCAAGGCCAGTTGGGCTACATAATAAGACTCTATCTTAAAATCCAGAAAAAATAACCCCAAAACCCAAGTACCAAACCAGTAATCCATAAAAAGAACAATAATATAGAAGCTTAAAGTAAAAAGTTTAATGAAAACAATTGTTTTTCAAATTTTTTAACTTTAAAAACATACCTAATAATTTTAAGAAAATTCTTGGAGCCAGGGATGGTGGTACACACTGTAGTCTCAGTACTTTGGGAGGCTGAGGCAGAAGAACCTCATGTTCAAGCCCATCAAGCATCAGTAAAGGGAATCATCAAATTAAAAAGCTTCTGCACAGCAAAGGAAATAACCAATAGAGTAAAGAGTTAACCTATACAATGGGAAAGTATTTTTGCCAGCTATTTCATGGGCAGAGGACTAATGTGAATACATAAAAAACTCAAACAAATTAAACCTCCCAAAAGAAAAGACCCCATCAAAAAATGGGAAACTGAAAGGAATAAACACTTCTCAGAAGAAGTACAAATGGTCAATAAATACATCAAAAATGTTCATCATTGCTGGCCAGCAGAGAAATGCAAATTAAAACTACACTACATACAAACTTACCTCAGAAAGAACAGCCATCATCAAAAAATCTAATACTAATAAATGCTGGTGAGGATGTGGGGTGAAAAGGAACGCTTTTATATTGTTGGTGGGAATGTAAACTAGTACAAGCACTATGGAAATCAGTGTGGAGATTCCTCAAAAAAACTAAAACTTGAAATTCCATTTGGCCCAGCTATCCCCTTCCTAGGTATCTTTCCAAAGAGTTAAAAATCATCATATTACATGAATACACGCATATCCTGTTTATAGCAGCATAATTTATATAACAGGTAGATCTTAGAAACAAGTTATACGTCCATCAACAGATAAATGAATAACGAAGTTGTGGTATTTATACACCACGGGGATTAAACCCATTCAGTAATACGCTTCTATAAAGAAAGACAAAAACCTGAGACATTGAAGGTAAATGGATGCAACTTGAGAACATAATATTAAGTTAGACACACAAGCTCAAGTATCAGAGGATTTCTCTTATATGAGAAACACAAAATATATACAAATATACAAATGAAGAGTAAAATAGAAGACATAAGTAGGAAGTAGGGAGAAGTTCAAATACTTCCCCAAATTACATAATATGCAGTTTCAAAATTATTTTAATATATATGCTAATTTATTTCATTTATACTAGTTTATCTTGGATTGTTGAAAAGAAACTTACATTATAGTCTGTTTCTTTTTTTAAGAATTGTTTTGATTTATGTCTTATATTCTGAGTAACTACTTTGAAGATAACAATATACAGTACATTAACTATTATTATTATTTTATGAAATTTTTTCATTAAAAAACGGAAAACAAGTTCAAGCCCAGCCTGGTCAACTTAGTGAGACCCTGTCTCAAAATAAAAAAGAAAAGGAGTGACGCCCAGTATTGTAAAAAAAAATTTGGGCTAGTGACACACCTCAGTGGTGGAGCACCTTCCTGGCATGTATGACAGCCTAGAATTTGATCCCTAGTATGACTAAAATAAGTCTTTTTCTACACGAAACCTCCAGGTGCCCTGAGCACCTGGGAAGGAGCTACCTGGCTGCCACAGGCTTCCAGTGTGAAGTCTGGGGGTCCAGGGCAGGTGATGAGAACGGAGCCAGGACAGATGCACCATGGCAACTTCACTGGGAGAGACAGCGGCACTAGGGACAGTGCAGTGACCTGGGGTGACCGGTGTCTACTAGGAGGAGCCAGGAGCAGGCCCCACCCTTAGAATTATAGCAGAAGGGATGGGTCCTTCATGCTCTTGAAGAGAAATGGGGGTAGAGCAGTGAGTGTGACAGATGTCCAGTGTCCTCAGAACACAGACTTCAGAGGTGAAAAGTGCCCAAGTGCTGCCAGGGAGGGCAGAGACATGGCCATGGCCATGCTCACACAAGCCACAGCAGCCATGGGGTCAGAGCCCCTGGTCCCTCTGCATCTGGTCTCTCAGCGCTGAGGACAAGGCCTTGGGTGATTTGGCTGTCTGACTCATCTGGCAAGGAGGCTGGTGGTACCCTTAGGGGCCTTCCCAGGACACCCTGATCATAGCCTAAGCTTCAGGGGAGGGGTATCTTCCTCCTGTGACAATTCTTGCCCAGTGATATTGAAACCTCGCATCTCTGGCTAATTTCATTTGCCTCATAGAGAATATTATTTTTGGTGTTTGTTACTTTGGTGCTAGGAACTGAACCCAGGGCCTGAGGTATATCCCTTGTTCCTGGGAGACCCTTCTTGAGGTGTGGCCAAGTCCTTCCTCTCAGGGTTCCTCTTCCCACTGTGCCCAGCAGATGCCACAGACACTGCCATGTCCAGGGCCAACAGATGAATTCAGGGGAAGACCTAGTTCTCCAAAGCCCCTCTGGGAAGATGCAAGCTCCTGCTGACAGGCTACTCGCCTGTGCACCACTCTCCAGTGGCCACAAATGGACCCTCAACAAGCACCAGTGCAGCAAGGCCAGAGCTGGGGGTGAGACAACATAAGCTCCACATCTACTATTGGTCACCTACAACTCAGGGCCCGCCTGAGAAAGTAAAATGGACAGGTGGGCCTGCAGATGAGGTTCAGGGGAGGTCCACCATGGGGCAGCTGGACATGGCAGATGGGGCAGGCCTGGGAGCAAGCTGATACCTAAGATACAGGAAAAACAGGAAGAGCCAGAGAAGCTGACTGATAGCTCTGAGGAAAACCCAGGGAGCACAGGCCAGGAGCAGTGTCCTGATAGGCCAGGCCAGGAAAGGAAAGGGCAGAGGGGCAGGCGGAATGGCCACTTCTGGGTAGTTGACAGCAACTTTGCACCAGAAGCTGTGGTTTACCAATCTCTGTTAGATCCACTCTGTTAGTGATCTCTGTTAGGTCCACTGTGGTGGATAGACAGGCTGAGTACCTCATGTCCCCGAGCTTATCACACTCATGGTGAGTTGCACAGTGTGGTTACAGTTGCCCTCATAGCTCACCAACCCCAATGGGGGATGCCAACTATACCCATATATCCACATCACACCTGCTGACCATGCCACCGAATCCTCATGATAGACATTAAGGCCTTCACTATTCAAAAACAAAGTGCTGGCCCAGAGCTGTCATGAGCATGTCCCACAAGCCTGGGGGCCACCAACCAAGGCTGCCTCAAGGCCCTCACTTTGATGGGCCTCAGGCACCTTGCTCCACCTGTCTCCACCAGATCAGCAGGGCCTGGCCCTCAATGGCAGGAAACAACTAGGCCAAGGACCAGAACAGCAACTGGAGTGATCAGTCTGATAGAAAACTTAGAACAAACATGAACTCTCCAGTGCCAAACACTAGAGAATGGGCTCAGGGGCCACGCAATCCAGGCAAAGACCACTCTTGTGACTGGCCTAGTGTGGAGAATCCTGAGAAATGACGTTCCACGTGGTCATCCGATGTCCATCTGGTGTCTTAGAATGGTTTAAATATTAAAAAGTACTGGTATCAACACTTCTCTAGAACAGTGCCGACTCGGGGGACCAACCTGGAGATGTTACAGCACATTCTTGTCTCTGCAGTGCAAACAGTGGTCACTCGGGAACTGACCATGCCCCAGGGTTCTAGTGACCACTCCTGGGCAGAAAACACATGTGGCTCCAAGGTGGATTAACTAATGGTCAACTTGTAACACCCAGTTGAACTGAATCTGTGGTGCTAGGTGTGCTGGGTGTGGAAGGCCCACCTGAGGACTGTTGCCAACAGCATAAAAGGAGAACTGGAAGCTGGATGTGATGACACCTGCCTGTGATCCCAGCACTCAGGAGGCTGAGGCAGTAGGATTGCTTTGAGTTTGAGGCCAGCCTGGGGTACATAGTGAGTTCAAGACCAGTCTAAAGCGAGACCCTGTCTCAGAAAAACAAAACAAAACAGAATTGGAGGGGAAGATGGTGTGCTGTTGATTTTCCTGGAGAAGCTTGTCACAATGGCTTTCCTGATATGAACTTGGCTGTTCTTATTGTTGGAGGAGCTCAGGTCCTTGCTGTCACTGAGGATGGCTGCAGTTCTCTTCAGGTGAGCTCTGGTCCTTACCTTGAGCATCGCTTCCTGGCTCCAGTGCAGATCCCTCAGCCTGCTGGCTGGCACAGATGCTTCATCCTTCTGGCACAGACTTTCTGGTTTCCACCACTGATCTTTGAGCCTTCCCAGTGCAGATCCTTGATACAGACTTGCATGAGACATTGTCATGTCCTCTAGGCCTCCAATTGGACTCACAGAGGACATTGCCATGGGCTCTAGGTCTTCAGATGGACTCGTACAGGACACTGCTGTGGGATCCAGGCCTTCAGCTGGATTCTTTGGGTCTCTAGTGCATGGACAGATTTCCTGCACTCTTTTGCATTTGATTCTTTGGGTGAACATTATAAAATAATCCTATAAATTATATGTCCTGTATTAAACCTTTTCCCTTGTAAACCCTGACTACAATAGGTAGCTGTGACAGTTGATGCCTCAGACACACAGGGGAAGCCAAGGGGCCCTGGCAGCCTGAGGACAACAGCCCGAGGACACCCCACCCTCCATGCCAGGCACCTATTACCTCTTGGTGTTATAAGCTGTATCCTGAGGTGTTTCTTCCAGGAGAGTCACATAGCCCAGTGCACAGGTGAGGATGAAGAGCACAGTCAAGGTGTGGGCTCGCCTAAAATCCAAAAACACAGAGGCAGGCAGGGTCAGAGCACAGACCACATGGCCAAGTTCTTACGTGACACACACCAAAGCACCCTATACAGGAGAGGGTCCTGGCTAGGCAATAGAGGGTCTTATACATCTTCATGCTACAGTACTCACAGTACAGACAGATGTCAACATCAGTTAAAATTAAGGCCTGTCTTAAAAGGGACTTCAATGTTGTTTGTTTTTTTCACTATTATTTTCTACTAACAGTGATCTTGTAGCTTTTCAAGTGGTCAATCAGCCAGGGCAGCTCTGATCATCCATTAAGCCCCACAGGGAACGGTCTTTGAGTTCTGTAAAAACACAGATTTAGCTGGACATGGTGGCACAGACAGACCTATAACTCCAGCGTTCAGGAGGTTGAGGCCTGAGGATCTTGAGATCAAGGCCAGCTTGGGTTACACAGTAAGTTTGAGCCTAGCATGAACAACACGAGACTGGCCTTAACACCCTCCTCCAATAAAACCCCACAAAGACCATAAAAAATCTGGGCAAGGTGGTACACAGCCATAATCTTAACACTCTGGGAAGCTGAAGCAGGAGGACTGCATGTTCAAGTCCAGTCTGGGCAGTTTAGCAACTTACTAGAACCCTATCTCAAAATAAAAAATACAAAGGGATAGGGATATAGTTCAGTGCAAAGGCCTGGGTTCAATCCCTAGTACTGCAAAACCAACCAACCAACCAACCAAGCAAGCAACACCTAGAAAATAAATAACTAAAAAAACAAAAACAAAAACAAAAACAAAAACAAACCTCTTTGCCCTTTGAGGTAAATGTTCACCCTTTCTCCAAGAAGTTACTTAATGCCTGGCCCCTTTGGCTTTCAGGAGGCAGAAACAGGAATAAGAATGCCCCAGCTTTGTCCTAGCAAGTAGGAGGACAGTGGGTCAGGACACTAGTATATGAGGCTTACAGGAGGATGGACTTTAGAACCACACAATCAACTGCTGCTGGAAGGCAAAGCCATCTCAGTGTTCTTTGCCTGCACACAGTATATGTGCATCCACACACATGTAGAAATAACTGACTCCTGAGGTGGGCATCCCTGCCCCACTCAGGATGCCAGATGTATACAATAACACCTATTTCCAGGGCTGGGGATATACCTCAGTGGCACAAGTACCTGCCTGGCAAGCACAAGATCACGAGTTTGATTCCTGGTACAAAAACACCTCTTTCCACCTTCCCCATCTGCCCTGGTCCTGCAGTGCCTAGGCAGATGCAGCAACGGTCTGGGTCCCATAATCAGGCATAGGTCTAGTCACTCTGTAAGGCAGAGGGCACAAGGACTAGTTCTCTTCCAGGAGTGGAAAATACCCAGTTGTCTGTCTTTACAGATGACCACATTCATCATGCTGAGTGCTAGGAAGGGAAGCCTGTCAACACCAATGAGGAAAGCAGGAAGGCATAGCCAAGAAAGGGCTATGGGGCAGCTGCACATAGCAGATGGGGTGGGCCTGGGAGCAAGCTGGTTCCTAAGACACAGGAAAAACAGGACCTGTCCCAAGAAAGGGTCAGGCCTGCCCATAGCCTGCAAGAAACTCCCAGGCTATGACACTGCCAAAAATATCAACTGGCCAATCATACTTCCCAGATGTGGGCAAAGCTGGGAAAGCTCTTAACTCACAGGAGCTGAGAAACGCATCTTCTCAAAGCTAGGGTACCTAAGATCACCCAGACAATCCCAAGTCATGGAGAAGGCTCACTGAATCGCTGAGTTCTAAGATACAGGATAAAATTCTCAAAGTGTCTGGACCTCACCCTGGTGGGAACTGGCTAGTGAGTGTGGGCACCCACAGTACTTCATTGTGTTCCACCCACAGGGCAATGTTCACACATGTCTCTTCAGGGTGACAGTCTGCAAGGCTCTTCAGATGAGTGTTAAGATGTCGCAGACAGCTTCAAGCAGTGCCTCTGAGTACGTGGTCCTAACACTCCCAGAGCCTCCCTGCTGGATACCACATGCACAAGAACACTACAAATGGCAGAAAAGGCAGCACTTTTGCTGCCTCTGACCTAAATTGCAGGCTGATAAGTAGTTACCAAAACCCAAAACCTCTGCACATACCAACTGTCACTGGCTCCAAAGAGCCCAACTGTCTTTGAAAATAAAAAGCCTAAGTACAAGGTTTTAGATCACACAAAAATTCCCTTTGGCTAGGCAGGGTGCTACACACCTGTTATGCCAGGACTTTGGGAGGCTAAGACAGAAAGATCACAAGTTTGAGTCCTACCTGGGCAACTTATCCAGACCCTGTCCCAAAATAAAAAGTAAAAAGGGCTAGGGATATAGCTCACTGTGAATGCCCTGGGTCCAGTCCCCAGTAGTGAAAGCGCTGCAGTGTGCAACTGTGGTGGTGCAGAGGATGGAAAGATTACAGTAGTCGGGAAAGGAGACTTACTCTGAACACTGAGAGGCCCAGAGGGGCCATCTCAATCATGAGTGCTCAGTGTTAGGGACACTCCCAGGGGTAGCACCAAAGCCAAGAACTCTCTGGTTCTTATTCAGAATATCAGTGCAACAGAAAAACTGAAGGAAAGCAGTTTGGGCAGGGGCTGTCTCAAAGCTAGGCAGTTTGTTGAGGAAAGGGAAGGACAATGCTCAGATACACATGCTTCACTCACCTAAACTCCTTGTTTAACCCCTCACCCCTAAGATAGCCTGCATGCCTTTGCCCTATAGTTTAACCATTCAGTCCTCGGCCAAGTCCCCCACACTAAAGAATAAAAGTTTCTTCTGTTAATTTTGGAACCTAAAGTCATTTCTACAAACATACATTTTTTGAGATTCATCTGTGGGGCAGGGGTGTAGTGTCTGCCTGAGATAGGCTCTTACTATTAAGAAGGTCAGGCTGGTCTTAAACTTGCCATGCAGCCCAAATCTGGCCTCAAACTCAAAATCCCCCTTCCTTAGCCTCCCAAGTGTTGGGATAACAGCCTACCCACAGCTCCGAGATTCACCTTTATTTCATGTTAACCTTTTGTAATATTCATTATTAAGATTCTGTAAAAACAGGCTGCGGGTGTAGCTCAGTACAGAGCACTTGTGCAGCATGAGAGAGGCCCTGGGTTTGATCTCCAGGGTCACAAAATGAAAAATAAATCTCTAAAACACAAAATAAAGAGTTTCAAAAATCCTGGACAGCAAGGCTGTGACGACTTACTCAGAAGGAACTCGGCAGCATGGCTCTGCAGGGAGCATAAGTCATTTTTACTAGGCAAGCACCTGCCACCTCTATGAGGAATCACAAAGCTCTCCCTCCCCACATGCAGCAAATACCTGCCCCAAGCTCCTCTGCAATGAGGTTGGGGGAAGGAGTAGCCACCTGCCCAAGAGATGCACAAAGGAGGTACCTGACACTAGGCAGGCCACATCCTGTTGGAAAGCCTTTTTTTTTTTTTTTTTTTTGGTTTTTCTCGGGTACCGGGAACCGAACTCACGACCTTGCGCTTGCCAGGCAGGCGCTTTTGCCGCTGAGCATTTAGCTCAGCCCTGGAAAGCCTTCTGATCTCCAGCCTCCCACAGGTAAGTTCTGCTACAGGCAGGCATCTGTGCCCCAAGTCCCCCTGTGGGCAAAGCCCAGAAGGCCACTAGCCGGTGCTTTCGGAGACCAGCATGGGCCTTTGCTGGAGCTGGGAAAGGACTGAGCTCTGACTTGTGCTGATTCTCACTTTCCCTTCCGCCAGCACCTTTTGTGTGTTCTCAAGTTCAGGGTTATGTCAGTCTAAACTCTTGTTTAGTTCTTTACTGTGCCCCCTAACTGCTAAAAGCACCCAGTAGGGGGGCCCCCAAAATATGTGTTGGATGGATGGCTCAAAAAACAAATAATGAAAAAAAAAAAAAAGAACGTGAAACATGGAGAGTGAGCCCAATGACCTCCTGCATTACTCTGCAGCCCCAGCTCCTTCTTGTCTGAGGGGCACAGCAGGACACAGGATAAGGCCCTGAAAGTCAGAGAATCCACAGGGCACTAGCTCTGAGACCATACCCCACTGACTTGCGGCATCCTAGCCTTCTCTCCTTTTCTATGGCTCCACAGCCACCAGTATACTTCCCAAAGCAGCACTGGCTGACTATAGCCAAGGGTTGGTGTTGACACAGTTCCAGACAAAGCCCCCGCCTAAGCCTTCCCACCACTTGACCATATCTCTCCAGAGCTTCACGTGCCACTCCCACTTGCAAGCCAGAGATACAAGCCAGATCAGGATAGGGTCCCTCAGGAGTCTGGCACCTTCCCCGGAAATGTCCAATCCCTCCCATACCAAGCCCCCCCATGATCAAATGTGCTCTATGTCAAGGCCACAGCCCAGTTCTCTTATAGTTGCTTTTCCTTTCCTGGGGGTATGGCCTATCTCTGTGCATTTCCTGGGCCCTTCTCCCCAGAGCCCACCCTGGTCCTCCAGTGTAGCTCAGCTGAATGCGAACTGAACTTACAGTAAAAAAGGGTCAAGTCCTTCCTCTAGAGATCCATACTTTCTGGTCTACCAGTTCTGTCTCTCACAAATGAGGAAAGGTGAAGGGCCAGCCCAAGGTCACAGGAAGCATACCTGGGGCCTGTCAGTCAGGGCTCCTCCTGAGCCCTGAAACCCAGCCCTCGCAGTCCCAGCTGAACCTCGGCCACCACCTCACTAAAGGTGGAGCGTGCTGCCTGAATTGAACTCAAGGCCTGGCGGGGGCCAAGTTGTGCAAGGCGGTGAGGGTGGGGGAGACGCACAGGCGGGACTGAACAGAGAGTGGGACTTTAGATCCGCAACGCTGAACAAACCTTGACACGCGGCGCGATGCCACGCTCACCGGGCCAGTTCACATCCCTGGACTGGGGAAGCACGGCGATTCCAGCGGCCAGTGAGGCGCTGCCTCGCAGAATGGAAACGCGAGGGGCACGAACGTCGGATGGCAAGGCCAGGAAAGCCTCCCCAGGTGGTTCCGGAACGCGGGGAAATGCACCCGAGGGACCTCCCTTGGCCTGCCCGCTGCACAGACCCGGGCCGTCCCGGCCCCCAGACCAGTCCGGGTCTCCAAACCTGGCCGGCCCCGCTCACCCCCGGCCCGGGCAGGCGCCCCTGCCCGCCCCATGCCCTCACCAGAAGAAGGTGTTGGTGCCGTCGTCGTAGACCTCAGACTCGGTACTGCGGCGGCCCTCGGGCCGCGGAGACCCGGGCCGCAAGCCCCCAGCGGCCCTGCGCTCGCCCCTCCGCATGGCGGCTGGCCGCAGAGACTACCAGGCGGCGCGCGGGCAGGGGTCGCGGCGGCGCCCCGGGGGGTCTCCGCAGAGAGGGGCGGGACTGCGGGGCATTGTGGGACGGGTAATGCGCGACCGAACCGCATGGCACGCTGGGCGCTGGGCGCAGGGCCTGCCGGGAAGGACGCCGCCCGGTTGCTAGGTGACCACCACCCGGTATCTCCCGGTCAATCTGGTGGGCAAGCTTGCTACCTTTGGTTGGTTCCCACCGTTGAGACAGTCGGGGCGCCGCAATAAAATAAAGTAACATAAATTAAAAGACCAGCCAGGGTAACCTTGAAAGACAACCTCGCAGCTCCTCAAAGGGTTAAATAGAGTTGCCTTGCAGCGCTGGCCGCCAGAGAAACGCGGACACCGCCCACAGAGCTGGGTGACCACGGCTGGTGGCTGGGATCCCGAGGTACCGCGATGCGAGCCCACTGTCTTTGAAGGGGTAGGGTCGTACACACAGAAGTGATGTGTCCAGCAGGGTAATACTACCGCTCATAGACGTGCAGACACTGGGAACGTGCAGGAAGGGGGCCGCTGGAAAAGACCCCATATTACAAGGCCCGTTGATAGGAAACGTCCGTGCAGAAGACGGTCAGCAGGAGCTGCGCAGCGGAAAGTATCGGCTCCTTTGAGGTGATGAAAAAGGTTCAAATCAAGGGTCAACCTGGAAAAAAAAGTCCGTTTTGAAGAGCGGGGACTCGTCTCTCACAGGCTAACCTGGTCCGTGGTTCAGTGATAATGGAAATTAAAACTCAGGCATGCAGCAAGAATTTACAAGGAAAAATAGTTTTAAATGTAAAGTAAGAGAAAATGAAGGGAGTAGAGCACAGCTCAGGCAAAGACCAAGCCAGCCCCCTAATGAAGTATATGTGCCGCTGAAGCGAGCACATGGCGCCCTAATAAAAAAAAGTAAAAGAAAACAGGGAAGGGGCTTTGTGAGGAACAGAAAGGCACAGACATTGGAAGAGAAAAGGGCCAGCCTTACGGGGTGCTGTGAAGGACTGGGTCTGGTTGATCATGATTTCATTCTTGGATTCCTAGCTCCAGAAAAATCTTTGGCTTGGCAGGGGGCATTCAGCTTCCATGAGACGACTGTTTCTGCTTGGGGAGTCTCAGTCCTGTGAGGCTGTGCTGGACTCCAAGGTGACTACAGGTTTAGGATAATGGGGACTTCTGGGTGTAGTTAACTGTCCCTGTAAATCTTTACCTTCTGCAATCCTAGCATTTGGAAGGCTAACAAAGAAGGGTCTGAGTTTAAGACCGGCCTGGGCATCTGAAATTAATAGACACATCTCAAATGAAGAAGTAGGAATAGGAGATAAATATTTGGAAAACTGTTAAACATCACTGGTCATTTGAGAGATGCAAATTAAAACAATGCTAAAATTCCATCTCACTCCAATAAGAATGGCTATTATCAAGAAATCAACCATAACAAATGGCAGGGCTGCTGGAAAAAAGCAACCCTTTTCCACTGTTGGTGGAATGTAGACCACTGGTGCAACCACTGTGGAAAGCAGTGTGGCGATTCCTCAAAAAACTAAAACTAGAGGTCCCATTTGACCTACCTATTCCCCTTCCCTTAGTATCTCCTGAAAGACTTAAAAGCATCATAGTGCAGTGACATCCATGTTTATAGTGGCACAGTTTGTAATAAATCTTGAAAACAGGCCAAATGCCCATCAATCAATGAATGGATAATGTTTTTTTATACGATGGAGTACTACTCTGCCATAAAGAAGGATAAACTTGAGACATTCCTAGGTAAATGGATGTACCTTGAGATCATAATCTTAAGTGAGGGCCGAGGATATAGCTCAGTGGCACCATGCCCGCCTGGCAAGTGCGAGGTACTGAGTTCAATTCCCGGCTCAAAAAAAAAAAAATCTTAAGTGAAATAAATCAGTCACACATGTAAACATCACATTATTTCTCTGGTGTGAGAAACCAAAAGTGTAAATAAGGACCAAAATGTATAATAAATATTGGGAAATGAGAAGAAAATGTTCAGATGAGAAGGGAAACAAGGAGGGGAGGAAGAAAGAAAAGAAGGGACAAAAAAGAATAGAAGGATGCTGGGCATGGTGGCACATGCCTGTTGTCCCAGCACTTGGGAGGCTGAGGCAGGAGGATTGTTGTGAATCTGAGACCAGCCCGGGCTACAAGGCCACCCTGAACTGCATAGCGAGACCCTGTCTCCAAAAAAAAAAAAAAAAGGAAAAATGCAAACAAAGCTTTTGTAAATAAGGGGAAGAGGGGTTGCAAGGAGGGGAGGGGAACGGGAAAAAAAAGAAGCAAGATATATCACAAGTACAAATTACCTATGGTGAATGTGATCATTATGTATACCTAAAATGTAACCCCTCAAATCAGTAAAAAGACCAGCCTGAACTATATAGTGAATTTAAAATAATATCCTGTTTCAAGGGGCTGGGGATTTAGCTCAGCTGCACAGCGCCTGCCTGGCAAGCGCAAGGTCAAGAGTTCAATACCTGGTACTGGAAGAAAAACGAAAACAAAAAATCCTGCTTCAAAAAAAATAAAACAAGGAGCAAAGTTTTTTAAAAATTGGTGCCCTCAGTCTTGAGGAGGGATGAGACAGGTTATGCAGATTTAGGACGAATCAACTTTGCCAACTTTTAGATGTCAAATGACTGACGTGTCTATCTGCAGAGCTGAGAAAAGACTGGACCCAAAGCTTTACACACAAAGGTCAAATTTTGTTCTGCTTTTAGTTATTTACTGGGCATCGGTAGGCCCAAGTGAGGAATCACTGTTTCTTAGGAAAAACTCTTTTCAAGTCGCTGGCCTTTTCATGAGTAATAGGATAAGGGCCCATGAGTTTATTGGTCCCCTGACTACTGTGGTTCCGATGTCAGTCTGATCTGTGTTCCTGAACCAAAGAGTAGGTGTGGTAGTGCATGACTGTAATTCCAGCACTTTGGAGGCTGAGGCAGGAGGATTGCAAATTGGAAATCAGCCTAGACTATGTAATGAGAACCTGTCTGAAAAAAATGGGTGGATGCAGAGGAGTTTCAGAAACCAGCCGGGGGTAGTTACGTGGCAGGTCAGATATAGCAAGCTCATTGATTATTCAGCCTCAGGAATCTGATGATACAGATGGAGATCACGGAAGAAACTGGGACCTTCCTACTATTTTTTTTTTTTTTTTCAGTGCTAGAGATGAAACTCAGGACTTTGTGCACACTAGGAAAGTATCTAAGACTAAGCTACAGCCCAGACAGCCTAAGAAAATTCAACCCTCTCCCTAGAAGCTAAACATAGAAAGGCATCTGGAAAGAACCCTGAGGAATATAGGACTCAGAAAAAAAGATGTGAAGACCAAGAATGATTCTCACCAGCAGAGGACAATGAGGACTAAGATGGTAATGTTAGCCATCTTAGATATGAAAAGACACTTAGATATGCCTGCTAGAACAAAGATTTCAAAATGGGACTAGCAAAGGAGTCATAACCCAGGACACACTTGCTATAGTGACAAACAAGTTGAGACAAAGGGGGAAGTTTTAGGACAGAAGAAATCAAGTGAACCCGTTTGAAGGCAAGCACTAATCTCAGGAACTGACGGCAGGGGCCGGCTTCCTCATGGGGTGCAGTATCTGAAAACCTCCTCTCAGAAGGGGTTCTGCCACTGACCAGACCAGCGCGGCGTGCAGGTGTTCCCAGAGGGCAGGATTCCGAGCAAAGCCCCACCTCATTTTGAGGGGTTGGTACCCACAGCGTTCTCGCACCTACCTGTAACAGTACCCATGAAGTGTACTCTGAGCCAGTGAAGGTGGGGTGTAGGCCTGTAAATGCTCACAACGGGCTCTAGGATCCTGACCGGGTGCCGCGCACTGGACCACCTCGGGTGGGGCCGGGCCGAGCCCGCGGCTCCCCGCGCCCGGGAGCCCGAGACCCACGCCGGAGCGCTGCAGGCGCGGGGTGCGCTCTGGCAGTCCGTCCTCCGCCCGGGGCGGGAGCACGCGTTCTCTCCACCGTGAGAGCCTGCCCCGTGCTGATGAACTTCCAACGGCCTGCAGACGCCAGCTGTCCAGATCTTCACTGCTCCGTGGGTTCCATTTTTGTATCGTTTAGAGCCGGAGAAACTGAGGCACGGAAATGTAGGCGGCTCTCGGCCCAGCTCCTTGCCGCCAGCGCTTTGCCCACGCACTCTGAGGGCGTCCCCGGCGCGAGGGGAGCGGCCCACGCGGGACGCGGATGCTTTGAGCCGGGGTTGTGAGTGGCAGGGGAGGGGGGGGCAAGACGTGGGGCTCCTGGGAAGGGGACCCGGACAGGCAGAGTGGAAGGAAGCCACCGCTTCCAGCGGGGGACAGCGGCCGCCGGGAGAGAGGGCGTGGCCTGGGTCCTGTTCCCGGTGATAAAGAGTGCAATAGTGGCGGAAATGCTTTGTAAAAATACAGTTGGGGAGAGAGGAGAGAGAATCAGCGTGGCCCTCTGAAGGAGACCCAGCCGGGAGCCTCCTCTGGAGTCTGCAGGCGGGAGGCACCAGCGTCCCTGCTGGGAGACCCCACCTCCAGCCCCCTGCGGTGAGGGCCCACCGGGCCTGGTGAGGGGTTTCCCTGCAAGGTGTGGGGCCGGCAAGGCCTGGACAGCCAGAGAGAGGGCAGAAGGCGAGTTCCTGGGGCGCCCACCCGACTCACCTGGAAGTGCTGCTCTGCGAGGAGGCCTCCTCCTGTCTCTGCCTCCCGGGGGGATTGGCTAGATGTGGTCTAAGGGGGAAGGGAGGGGTGAAGGTAAGGGCAGGTGGCACCACTGCTGCCTGCGAGTTCCTGGGCACCTTTGGACCCAGCTGGCCTCATCACCTTGAGCTCTCTGGGTGGACATTAGCCCCTAGCTAGGAGGAGTGGGCATGGTCATCTGCCTCCCTATCCTTGGCGGAGGAGGAAGGAAAACGTACAGGGTCTACTAGAAAAGAGCAGGAGCCCCAGGTACCTGACCACGAAGGGCAGGGCAGCTGGGCCCGTGACTGGATCGGGACACCGTGGCTTCCTCCCAGCCACACTTCAGAGGAGAGACTGGACCCCAAGACTGAGGCTGGGGAAAAGAAGGCTTAAATACTGTGATATGATAATAAGGTAACTGCACAATAGAGCTTATAAAGGTGGTACATGTTTGTGGTAGGAATTTGAGAGAAGTAAAGTAATATAAGGAGAAAAACATCATTCTCCAACCCCATAATTCACATCGTTAAGCAAAGTTACGTGCAAATACGAATCTACTTTTTCACTATCTTAATGCATTTTAACTTCATGGACGTTTTAGAAATTTATACAGTACATGTTTGTAATTTATTTAACAGTTTTGTTGTAAACATTTTCCTACTTTTTTTCTTTTCTTTTCTTTGCTTTTTTTGGTACCAAGAATTGAACTCAGGACCTTGCCCTTGCCAGGCAGTCACTGTGCCACTCAGCTATATTCCTGGCCCTTTTCTCCTTGAATGCACATATACACGTACGCTTTGCACATGCCGGGCCAGTGTTTACCACTGAGCTACTTCCCTAGTCCCAAAATCTTACTTTCTGTTGGCTGGTAATGTACCATTTGTTCAGATATTTTCCTATTCTTGAAGTTTTTTTTTTTTCTTTTTGAGACAGGGTCTCACTGTGTAGCCCAGGCTGGCCTCAAACTTGCAGCAATCCTTCTGCTTCAGCCTTCTGATTGCTGGGATTACAGGTGTGTGCTGCACACCCGGCTTCTTGAAGATCTATGTGGTTTAAAATTTTGGATGCAAAGGACATATTTATACATGTTTTTATTATTTTGAATTTTTTCCCCTTAGGACAGTTTACAAAGGTGAGATCAATGGACCAAAGTATCAGCAGTGTTAGGGCTTTGATGCATCTTGAGGTCTTCTTTGCTCCCTGGATGGCACAGGAGGCCCAAGCTGACTTGGCACCCTCCCTGAGTCTGGGAACATGGAGGTGGAGAGGCTTGCGTGCAGCCTCCTGCATGTGGGCAGTGCTGCCCTTGGAGAATGGGAATGAGGAGGAAGGGTGTCTGGGTTTCTGGGGCAATGGAACTGGGAAAGCCAAGTGAAGTCACTGAAAAAGTGCAGTATACAGGTGCAGGTCCCTGTGGTGGAGAGCTCAGGAGCAGGTGGAAAATGCAGACCTGAGTTTGGGTTACTCCTGTGCTCAGCAGCTGTCACTCAGCACTGCAGAGGGTGCAGTGCCCCGGGTCCTTCACTTCCTTCCTTACTCCCCAGGCTTCCTTGCAATAAGGTGTGGTCATGCAATTAGACATATGAAGGGTGGCGTGTCCTTCACTTTTCCTTTCCTGCTGCCTGGAATGTGGATGTGATGCCTGGAGTTTGAACAGCCATTTTAGACCATATAATGAGGCCAGGTGTTTAAGCAACAAGCTAAAGAGATTCTGAGCTGGGCTTGGTGACACATACTTACAACCCCAGCTACTTAGGAGGCTAGGGTGGGAGGACTGAAAGTTCAAAGCCAATCTGGGCAATTTAGCAATTTAGTGAGACCTTGTCTCAAAAAATAAAAAAGCTGGGGATGTAACTCACTGCTCCCCAACTACAGTCCTCAGTAACACACACACACACACACACACACACACACACACACACACACCATGGCCATACCAGTCCTTGACTACCAACTCCAGACTTCCTTCTTTTTTCCTTTTTGAGATGGTCTTGCTGCGCAGTTCAGGCTGGCCTTGAGCTCACTTTGTAGCCCAGGATGGCCTCAAACTCGCAATGATCCTCCTGCCTCAGCCTCCCAAGTGCTGGGATTACAGGCATGAGCCACCCTGCCCGGCCTGACTCCAGACTTTCTTACAGGTGGAATACACGAACATGCTTCCCCTTGGGTTCCGTCTGGGCTTGCTCCATAGAGCTATGTCATCCCATACGCTGGTTCCCTTCTCTACCTTTGCCACCTCACAGTTTTCCAACTCCTGAGGGGGATGTGGTGCCCTCTCGGGAGGGCACCTGAAGACCTGAAGCTGGGAGATGGTTGCCAGCCGACAGTGAACCTTGGCCTGGGTGCCCCATGCCACTCACAATCACACCTGGGTGCTGCCCCGCCCCTCACACTTGGGTGCCCCAAACTACGGGTGCTCTTATCACTGTAGCCAAGCCATGCTTTTTGGTGTTTGTGTCCTGCCAAGGCCTAAACCCTTGATTGCCCAGAGTGAGCCAGCATATCCTTGCCCAATAAACCTCCACACCACATGGGCGGTCCCCTCACCCCCTCTTAGAAACCCTCACCACGCCTGCTGTCCTGTGACAGACTTGCCAGTTGCCCACACCCTTTGGGCGCTGTCCTCTTTCTCAGGTGGCCCCTCGCCTCCTCAGCCCCCTGTCAGCAGTAATTGGCCTGGACAGGCTACTGGCCTGGGACACGGATGCCTTCACTGTCCCAAGAGCCTTTCCCCTCTGGGTCACTGGGCTGGGGCCACAGAAGGCACTTTTTTCTCAGGGTTTCTCTCTCCTCTTGCCTGTTGCCCCTCTGGGAATGAAGAGGAGGTTCGGGGGCCTGCGCTGGCTCTGAGGGGACTGAGATGCCACCATAGTGAGTCTCTGTGAGGATTCCCTGCTCCCCCCCACCCGCCTTGTCTGGACCGGGGTGTCATTGCCTTGTCTTACAGCACATCCCTGCCCCCCCCCCCCCCCCCCCGTCCGTCCCCTTTCGGAGGGGGCCATGCTGCAGCCTCTGACTCCTCCCAGGACACCTGGGTGCGGCAGGGGCGGGCCGGCGGGCTCCATGCGGAAGTAGCACCGCCTGTACCTGGCAGCCTCTCAGAGGCGGGCGCCGGGACCGCAGCAGCCCCAGCAGACTCCTGATAGATCGGCAGCAGCCTGTGCCCAGCATGCAGGTGAGCCTGGCCTGTGCTGCCCCTCGTCTCCCAGGACACACCCTAGGGGCCCTGAGAGACTACCAGGAGGGGTGAGGAACCCTGGGCAGGACCCAGGAGGATGGCTCTTCCCACTCCCTGGGATTCTGGAGACCCCAGGGCTGGGCTCAGGGGCACCTGTGTGAGTACTCAGGTGGCTGGGGCCGACTTGTTGCTATCCCCTGCCTGGGACCCTGACAGTCTGTGGGCTGCAGGTGTTGGTGACCAAGTGTCCAGCCACTTAGGCTGGAAGCCCTCCAGGCTTCGTGTGCAGAGTCTGCCATGCAGAGCAAAGGGCTGGAGGGCACCGGAGACCTCCAGGAAGACGGGCTTTCTCCTCCCTGCCAGTGAAGAGGTCACCTGGGCAAGGGCCAGCACCTGACAGCCCAGGAGGAGGCCCAGGGAGGAGAGTGAAACAGCCCCCTCCAGCCCCAGTCTCCAGGTGTGGGCTGGCCGCTCCCTCCACCTCTGCCCATGGCCAGCTCTGGTATCTGCTGCTTGGCCTGGCCCCAGGGTCCCGTGTCAGCCTCTGCCTCGCTTGGGGGCCAGGAGAGACTGGGTCAGCCAGCCAGGTGGGGAGGAGCCCCTGCTGGCTGAGTGAGTGTGTCAGTCCTTAGATACTCAGAGGACTGGTGCTTCCTGCCAAAGTCCTTTCATGGCTCCTCATGGCTTCTGCTGAAGTCCAAGCTCTCTGGCTGCCTGAGCAGCCTTCTCTGATGTGGCTTCTGGTCACCTCTCTTCTTGCCCTTTTTGCTTCTGCAAAGCTAAAGTGTTGAAGACTGAGCTACTAGTAGTAGTAACTGCCAAATTCCCAAAGGTGCTGAAGACTGAGTTCCTGAGAGTGCTGAGAACTGAGTCCCTAAGAGTAGTAACTCCCAAGTCCTCAAAGGTGCTGAGAGGTTGGTCACTAGAAGTAGTAGCTACCAATTCTCAGAAGTGCTAAGGACTGAGTCCCAAGCACCAATGGTACCTGTCTCTCAGGAACAGCCCACACACTTCGCTGTCCCAGGAATGCTGCCCCCACTTCCTGCCTGCTCCCAACCTCTTGCCCTACAAGGCTGAGCTCTGGGCCATCTCCCTTCCAGTAGCCACCATCCCTTGGTGTCCACTCATGAGGTGCGCAGCAAGCTGCCTCATCATCTGGGAAGATGCAAGGAAGGATGAGCTGATGGTGGTGCTGGACACAGGGGGGAGGCAGGACACACAGGGAGGGTGGACAGAGGGCCCGGCCAGGGTGTGGCCGGCGGTGAGGGTGGATGCTGCCTGTGTACCAGGGTGGGGGCAGGGCCCCCTCCACGGGCAAAGACACTGCAGAATACTCCAGGGCTGGCTGTGACCTGGGGCACAAAGGGCCTCAAGCAGGGGATGACGCCACAAGTGTATAGCTGGGATGTACATGTGTGTGTACCACGTGAGCTGGCCAGGCCGTGTTGGTACTGGAGGGCGGTCAGATTCGCACACCTGGCCCCTCTGCCCTCCTTGACCTGGACGCTTGCCGAGGGATGGGAGCAGGACCCCCAGCACTGATGCCCTGTGACAGGGGTAGCTGGGAGCTGCTGGTACCCTGGTTCCAGAGGTTGCACCCCTGGGACTCAGCCCCGGATGGAACAGAGTAGGACACCAGGAGCCTGTAAAGTTGGGGGACAGGAGAGGAGGCCAAAGGAACCCCTTGACTAGGTGTGTGGCCTCATCCACCCTCTTCCTGCCTGTGCATGTCATTAGGTGACTCTAAAGTGGGGGTAATGTCACCCCATTCTATAGATGAGGAAGCTAAGGCTCAAGAGAAGATTGGAAACATCAGCACCAAGGCTGGCTGTCTGCTAAGATCTGCTGGTGGCAAGGCTGGGGTTCACATTCCAGGGCCCCTGGCTGAGTGTGGGGACAGCCTGTCCTGCCATGGGGCTCACATGGCTTCCTGGGGTCTTAGACTCCACACTTCAGGAGCCAGGAGTGGGCTTTGGCTGGAAGAGGGGGCCACTTCAGGTGGGCCGCTCGGACCCACTGGTGAGCAGCCAAGGGCTCAGGCTGGGACCAGTGATGTGGCCCTGGAAGGCAGATGAACAGATGGACAGAGGGACAATGGATGGCTGATCCTGGAGGTGGGGCTGCTGGGCAGTAGTCACAGACCTGGCACTTGTCAGGGGACCAGTACTGGCCAGGGGACATCTTCCTGGCTGGTAGTGGCTACCCTTGGGTAGGTGTGCATGGCTTTGTCTGGAGGGGCCCCTTGCTCAGTGGCCCATCAGGGCCTGCCAGATAACCTGGGTGAGAGTCGTCACCCTGGTCCAGATCACACCCCAGCCCCAGGGGAGGTTGATGCTGCACAGGGCCTTTGGTGGGGAGTGCTCTCTATGCCTCATTTCTGGGGCTGACAGGGATAGCCTCACAGAGTAGCCTCAGGTTGTGCCCCGTCACAGGCTCCTCCTTCACCTGGTCCCCAAACTGTAGTCTGGTCCCCCCTCACTTGTCCTGCACGTTCTGTAGCTTTGGGCTGAAGTCAGAGGGTCCTGGACATTGGGGGCTGCCTCCCAGATCTAAAGTTAAACTCACGAGGATCATTTCACTCACCAACTCAGCCCACGTGACACCTGCTGAGCCCCTCTGGGCAGGCTGGTGACACCAGAGCCCCTGGCCACCATCCTGCCTGGTTGAGACTTTGCCTCCTTTCCTGTGACCATGAGGTGGTGCTGCCCCTGCCCACACCTCTGGTTGAGTGCAGGTTTTTCCAATACAGCACAGGGGAAGTTTTAGTTATTGTAGGCCACACCGCTGGAGGACAGCCTGGGACCCCAGGAGTCTGGAGGGGATGCTGAGGCGGAGGGAGCTGCAGTCTGGGAAGGGCACCCAGGATGGGTGCCGTATGGCTGCAAGAACCCGCAAGCACATCCACATCACCCACTGCCCATCGGATTGCTCTGCAGCTTCCTTGACCAGGCAAGGTGGAAGTTGGGCAGACGCAGGGCTGTCCTGGAGCCAGACCTCACATGCAAGGGCAGGGAGTGGGACTGGAGGGGTTGTGCATACTCAGCAATGCAAATCCACAGATTTCCAGACCAGTAGCCATCGTTTCTACATAAGTATGTCTCAGACAGTCACTGGGCTATGTGTACACTGAAAGGCATCTACTGAGCCAAGAGTGGCAGTGCATGGCTGTAATCCCAGAGCACTGGGAGGCTGAGGCAGGAGGATGGAAAGTTCAAGTTGAAAACCTGTCTCTACGTGAAAAATAGAAAGTGTTGGGGATGTAGCTCAGCCCGAAGACCCTGGATTCAATCCCCAGTATTGAATAAAAGAAAAAGAAGAAAAGGCACCTGCTGTTTATCTGAAATTCAATTATGACTGGGTGGCCTGTATATTACTGGCAGCCCTGGAGGGCCAACTGGCTGGAGCAGTCAAGTGAGCCTTTCTGGAGGAGGTTGCAGGAATGTGGTTGAGAAGGACAGGAAATGCAGGTGAGGGATGAGCAAGAGCCAAGTCCTGACTGTGGGTGATGTGGCTCAGGGTCAAGGGCTGGGTGACTGTGTAGTTGGAGAGCAGCCTCACTTTGGGTGGCAGGCATCACAGGGAGGAGAGGCGGGGTACCTGGAGTGGCCTGTCCCTTCCGACACAGGTGCACAGGGTCCCTGTGCTAACCTCGAAGCTGCCAGCCAGGACTCAGGCTGGGTCCTTACCCCTGTGGAGCAGGGATGGGCTCTGTCTCCACGGCCAGGGCTGCTGCTCCCAAGCCGACCCTTCCCTGGGCCCCCCTGCCCTCTGAGCCTCCCCAGCTGCCCCCACTATGTTTGGAAAAAGCCTGCCTGGTGACCCCTCCTGCCTACCCTCCCTGCAGAGTGCCCAGCATCCACAAGGATGCCAAGCATGGCACCCAGCACCCACCAAAACTGCCCTGTCCTTTCTCCAACGTTTTGCAGCTCTGTCCCATCCACATGTATTTCTGAAAAGTGAAGCTTTACCTGTTACCTGCTTTTCACAATGTCAAAAGTGTACTATGCAGCAAGTAAGCATCTGAGTCTTGGTTTTTAAAAAAATGATTATCTGGGATGGTTTTAGCTTTGTCAGAATCAGGAAGGTCACATGACGTCCCCTCAGCCTCCACCAGTTTCCCCTGATGCCACCTCATGAAGCCACTCACATGGCCCAACTGATCCCAGTCGCCAGCATTGCCCCTGCCTGCATCCTTTCCTCTCCCTATGAGAGCCCCTCTGTCCCCGCCTGGCGACCTGACACTGAGTTTAACATCCTGATGTGTCCCTCTCACCTTCCTGAGGTCTTCTTGCTGTGAGGAGGAGGACCAGTTGTGGGGGGAGTGTCCTGTCTCCAGTATCTTATCACGGCTGCCTGATGACACTGCAGGCAACCTTGGCCTACCTGACTTGGTCCAAGTGTCTGCTGGGGTCCTCTCTGTGAAGCAACGCTGTCTCCTGCCACATTCTTCTCTGGTCACAAGTCCAGCCCACAGTAGGAGGGAGAACTAGCTGGATCTGAGATTCATCCGTAATTAACAGCAGCCGCCTGAAGTCCTGCCGCCAGCTCTGGGTCCTCGGGAAAGGGATGTACCCCACATGCCTCCTCTGTTTAGCCAGGACTGACTCTTCCTGGGCTCAGCACATCTTGGAGTCCCAGCACCCTCTGTGGCTTTGGGATTTCCAGTGTTGATGTGAAAAGCTGTGCACGCATCTGCTCTGTCAAGTGGAGGTCTAGAAGCCTAACAGTGCAAAATGTTCCCCAAGTTTGTTCTCTGCTTGGTGCACCACCAGCAATGTAGGAGTACAGGGTCAGACCTGCACTTCCTGACACCCCAGGTCCGGGTCTCTTCATCTACCCACTGCTCACCAGCTCCCCTTCTGTGAAATCCAGTTGTACCTCCACTGCTGTAGAAAGGGGCTGTCTGTCCTGACAGCCAGCCCCTTCTATGCTTTCCAGGTGGACTGGTTGGTTATGTGGGTAGCTGCTGTCACTTTCTGCCTTGTCATCTGCTTGCAGCCATCCTTGGCCTTACCTCCACTTGGACTTACCCATTTGCAGACTTGTTTCTGGCTGCCCATCCCAACTTTGGGGCTTCCCTGCCCCTCTGGGGTCCAAGTACCTGTTCAGAGGCTGCAAGAAGAAGCCAGTGAGGGGCCCACTTGCCCTCCCATCTCTCAGCCCCTTGTCTGCCCTTCAGGCTGAGGAGAGCTTCCAGGTGCTGGTGGGGACAGAGGGAGACAGCTTCCCGCTGATGGAGATAGGCACTTGTGAGGTAGGTGTGCTTGGACTTCCTGGGGCTTGGCCCAACTCTCTTCCACTCCTCATCCTATACTTGCTCCTCCCCAGGTCCCTACCTGCCCCCACCCCAAAACCCCTCCCTGGGTCCCAGCCTCACCCCATGACCCCCTCCCCATGGCCTATCCTGTCCCCTCCTCCCCTCCTCCTGGGGCCCTGCCTGGCCCGTCCCACACGCCCCGTCCAGGCAGAGCCCTCTGAGCAGTGGGACTTCATCCTTGTGGCCAAGCACTGCAAAGAGTCAAGACTCAGGCAGGCTGAGCAGCGGCGGAAGCAGTTCCTGGAGGAGCTCCAGAGCAAAGGCTTCCATATCAAGGTGGGTGGTGCCTGGCCGGGGGCCGGGCTAAACCATGGTATGGGTGAGGGGGGCTCCTGGTGGAAGACAGGATCTCATGCGGCCCCACCCCCAGGAAAGACAGGACCAGAAACAGGTGTTCTATGGGATCCGAGCTGACAACAGGATCTTCGACTTGTACCGCACCCTGTTCTTGGAGCCAGAGGGTCTTGCTGCCCGTGTGGAGCCCGCCAGGCCAATCACTGTCACAGCTACCATGAGGTGAGAGGCTGTGCACAGCTCATCTGATCAAGGCAGAGGAGGGGTCTCCCTGAGCCACTTACGGCAAGACCACCAGCACCTTGTATGAGCAGGGCTCTGCCTCCCCGTCCATGCCCTTGATAAGGGCTAAGGATGATCCTCGCTGCTTGAAGCATTCTGTGCTCCCTGGGGCCGGGGGACAGGACTCAAGCCAGCCAAAAAAGGTGAGCGGGGTTGGAGAGCCCCACACCCAGCTGTTCCTGCTGGACTCGGAGGCCTTCGTCTCCCAGACCCTCCTCTCCACCTGGGTGGATGTCCTCTCCCTCCACATCTGTTCCCCGACATCCAGCCAGCCCAAGGCCACTCAGCACCTGCCTCTCCTAGCATGTCCCCTCCCCTTGTCCTTCCCTTCACCTGCCCAGCCCAGCCAGGTCTTCAGAGCTCAGCTCACCCTGTCCATAGGACACTGGCTCAAGCCATTCGCCACTCTGAGCCTCAGTCTCCACACAGCCAAGATGGCTCTCGTGGTGTGCAGAGAGCATTTACACCGGGGACAAATGCAGAGCTGGCAGGGGGCACAGCTGGAGGGCGTCTCAGCCAGGCCAAAGGGAGGGCTGCACTCAGGGGTGCAGGGAGGAGAGGGGACCCTGGCAGTGGCCAACCTGGAAGCCATGGCTGGGGCTAGGTGGGTGAAGGGAAGGATGGGAGACTGGGAGAAAGAGCACAGCTGACTTGGGCCCACTGAGGTCTCACAGGGCTGTCTTGACCCTGCTTTTGGATTTCAGAATCCGAATCGTGAACTTTGTCCTGAACAGCAAGACAGCAGCTGGTGGTGAGGACAAACGGGCAGGCGGCCTGGGTGGTGCTGACCCCCACCGCCCTTGCCCTGCACTGCCCTCTGACAGGAGCTCTCATGATCCCCAGACAGCTTTGAGGACTTGGTGAAGGACGGGGTCTTTGAGAGCAAGTTCCCCCTGCACAGGGTGAGGGATGAATGAGCTGGGAGGGGGCTGATGGCTGGATCCTAAGCAGGAAGTGCTCACCATCTGTAACTGGCCCAGGGGGAGGAAGACCTGAAGGTAAAGTGGGCCCAGTGGAGAAACCTGCTCCAGGAACAGCCCATTGATGCTATCAGGTAACAGTGCCCCCCAAGACCATCTGTGCCTGCCAGAGACATGCCCACAGCCCCTTGGGCACGTCTGCCCTCACATGACCACACCTGTCCACCGACAGACACACCTGTCTTCTCAAGGTGCATCCATTCATCCCCGGCTGCACCTGTTCCCCCACGGGTGCACCTGTCCTCCCATGGGTGCCTATCCCCTTCATGTGGATGTTGGCCCTATACACACCCAGCCATGTGGATGTTGGCCCTGTACATGCCCCCTCTCTCCATGTGGGGGCACCCTCAGCCAGGGGCTGGCTCTGTGACAGCAGTCCTGGTGGAGTGTGCCTTCACAAGCCAGCTCACCCATAGGGACTACTTTGGTGAGAAGGTGGCACTGTACTTTGCCTGGCTCGGATGGTATACCTACATGCTGGTGCCCGCTGCTGTGGTGGGCCTCATCGTCTTTCTGAGTGGGTTCGCCCTGTTCAACTCCAGCCAGATCAGGTGGGCTGGGGCCCAGGCCTGGGGGGTCAGGCTCAGGGGAGAGCCAGGTTAGGGTGTCTGGGAAGAGCCTTGCCATACTTGTCCCTGCCCCCAGCAAGGAGATCTGTGAGGCCCACGACATCTTCATGTGTCCTATTGGCGACAGCAACAAATACCAGCCGCTCTCGGTCACCTGCACTTTCGCCAAGGTTTGCTGCTAGGGTCCCCTAGGGCCTGGGAAGGGCCGAACGGTCCATACCCAGAAGTAGACTCACCCTGCTCTGGGGGATGTGGGCAGGGGCTCACCTGAAACTTACCCCCCCACCCAGCTCACTCACCTCTTTGACAACGAGGGCACTGTGCTGTTCGCCATCTTCATGGCCCTGTGGGGTGAGTTGCTGCAGATCCCCAGAGAGCTGTGCATGGCCACCCTCTCCTGCCATGACACCCTCTACACCTCACTGCAGCCACTGTGTTCCTGGAGATCTGGAAGCGGCAGCGAGCCCGCGTTGTCCTGCACTGGGACCTGTATGGGTGGGATGAGGACCAGGTAAGGCAGGGCCAGTGGCCAGGGCTGTCAGCTCTCAGTGTCCTGTGTCTGAGGCATTGTCCTCATGTCTGAGTCACATGTCCCTGTGTCTGTGGGACTTGCCTGTGTCTGAGAGAACATGTCCCCATGTCTGGGGTAACATGTCTCCGTGTCAGAATCACGTCTCTATGTCTGAGGCGTGTGTCCTTGTGTCTGAGGAGTGTCCTCGTGAGGTGTGTGTCTCTGTATATGAATAGTGTCCCTGTGACTGAGGTATGTATTCTTGTGTCTGATGCATGTGTCCCCATGTCTGAGGCATGTCTGGTGACCTCCCCAGGAGGAGATGGCACTTGAGCTCATTAACTGCCCCGACTACAAGCTCCAGCCGCACCAGCACTCCTACCTGCGCAGCACCATAATCCTGATCCTGTCTCTGCTCATGGTACCCAGGGGTTCATGGGGGATGGACGCCCATCTGTGCAGCCTCCGTGCCCACCCACTGGCCTCCCCTCTGCAGATCTGCTTCATTATTGGCATGGCGCATGTGCTGGTGGTCTACCGAGTGCTGGCTGCCGCCCTCTTCAGCAACTTGGCCTGGCCCTTCCTGGGGGTGACCACGGCTGTGGTGGTGTCTGGGGCCGTGGTACACTACGTGACCATCGTCATCATGACCAAGGTGGGGACCGAGCAGGGAAGTGGTGAGGGTCCTTGTGGCCTAGATGAGCCCACTTGATGCCTTCTGCCCACAGGTCAACAAGTATGTGGCCCTGAAGCTTTGTGATTTTGGTAAGAGGACGGCCCTTCCCTCTCTGGGGCTGGGAAGGTTCATGGCTGAGGTTCTTGGAGCCGCCATCAGACACAGGCTGGGGTTCCTGCCACAGTGGTCTGGAGAGGGCTAGATCAGGTAATGACACTCTCGTCTCATTCCAGAGAAGCCCAGGACCTTCTCAGAGCGTGAGAGCAAGTTCACGGTCAAGTTCTTCACGCTGCAGTTCTTTGCCCACTTCTCCTCCCTCATCTATATCGCCTTCATCCTGGGCAGGTGTGCTGCCCCCACTGCCCCTCTGCCTTGTCTCTCCTTCCAGTGCCCAGACTCTTCTTTCACATGTAAAGATAAGCCCTGCTCAGCACTCTGAGAAACCCAGTAGGGTGTGCCCTGACCCCAAAGGTGACTCCCCCACAGTCTGGAGGGTCTCCAGCATCCTTGTGTGTTACAGACACTGGCTACCCAAAGTGGGTCAGTACTGCAAGTACTAACTCAGCTTTTATGAGACACTTCCAGGGGCGTCTACAGTAGAGGTGCCCTTCTGTCTCCACGCCAGAAATGCCAGGCTGCGTCCCCTGAGAAATCTTTGCGTTAATGTCAGCTGGCTCACAGTCTGCGTACCGCTGTTAGAGGGAGTCCCTTTCAGGGAGAGAGACACAGCCATAGAGTCCAGGAATCAGCATGCCCTCGTCTTGGGCCCTTATCCTCGCTAGCTCAAGTGACCCCTGGCCTTCCTGTGTGGGACAGGCTTCTGGGTTAGGGTCTTTCGATGTGTGGGACAGGCTCTTGGTTAGAGTCTTTCCATGTGTGGGACAGGCTTCTTGGTTAGGGTCTTTCCATGTGTGGGACAGGCTTCTTGGTTAGGGTCTTTCCATGTGTGGGACAGGCTTCTTGGTTAGAGTCTTTCCATGTTCTTCAGTCGGGCTCACATGTTTCCTGTGGGTGCCGCAGCCCCACATGAATTTCATTCTGCTCATTTCACAACACTTGCTGGTGTCTGTGACTGGAGTTTCCTCAAGTTCCATCCCCAGGGCTTTGGCTGCACAGCCAGAAGCCAGCTCTGCTTGGTGCCAGCTTTGCAGCCACCCCAAGTGCCTGTCGGGATTTATCCACTCAGCCTTTCAGTTGATTTATTTTGATTTTTCCAGTTATATAACATATATCCTAAAATAGTAATGTTTTCCTTTGCAAATCTATGTTAGTTGCACATTATATTTCTTTTGCCTATTTGCCAGTAATTCTAGCACCGTGTTAATTGTTATCATAAAGCTGGGTGTGGTAGCACAGGCTTATAATCCCAAGACTCGGGGAGGCTAAGGAGGAGGATCACAAGTTTGAACCCAGTCTGGGAAATTTAGTGACTTAGCAAGACCATGTCTCAAAAGATTTAAAAAAAAGAAAAAGAAAAAAGAAAAAGTGCTAGGGATGTAGGTCAGTGCAAAGGCCCTGGGTTCTTTCTCCAGCACTGCCCCCACAGTTATGATGACCATAATGGAGATGCTTCTAGGATTTCCCCATCGAACATGCACTGTTTAAGGTAGTTTATAGGTACGTGTGTGTGGGTATTTTTATATGTATTCTATGCCCATACTTGCCATACTGGGGCCTTGCATGTGCTAGCCAAGTGCTCCACAACTAAACTACACTTCCAGCTCTTTTATTTCTGACAGAGGGTCTTGATAAATTGCTCAGGTTCATCTCTGACTTATGATCCTCTGCCTAAGCCTTCCCGAGTGGCTGGGACTGTACGAGTGTGCCACCATATCTGGCTCAGATAGTTTAGGTTTTCTGTCATGTATGGAAAACACACACAAAATTTTATACACAAAATATCTGTGTGCCTGGGGAGAAGCTGAGGATAGGTCCAGCTGATCTGTGCAGAACCTGTGTCTGAGCCTGTGAGCAGCTCTGCGTGGAGGCTGAGCTGTCCACACAGTGTGCGAGCCTCTGCGTGGGTGCATCAGGTGTGGGCTGCTGCCCCTGCCATCCCTGTTTCTTCCCTGTCCCCGACCCTCCCTGGCTGCTGCAACCCCGCCTGCAGGGCAGAAGACAGCCCCACTCCCTCTCAGGCCTCAGTTTCCTCCCTAGGATCAATGGTCACCCTGGGAAGTCCACGCGCCTAGCTGGGCTGTGGAAGCTGGAGGAGGTCAGTCTGTCTCGAGGCTTGCTGCCTTGTCCCTGAGCGCCCTCCTGACCTCCATGCTGACCCTACCTGTCCCCCACAGTGCCACCTCAGCGGCTGCATGATGGACCTGTTTGTGCAGATGGCCATCATCATGGGCCTGAAGCAAACGCTCAGCAACTGCATGGAGTACCTGCACCCGTGAGCACCCCACGCCCACCCACTCCCTGCTCTGTCCCTTGCCCCTCTGCCTATGCCCACCACTCCCCCCAAACACAGGTGGCTTGCCTGTAAGTACCGCATGCTTCGGGCCCGCTGGGCCAGGACCCCGGAGCTCCGGGACTGGCAGCGCAACTACTTCCTGAACCCAGTCACCACCTTCAGCCTGTTTGACGAGTTCATGGAGATGAGTGCGTGGGGGTGGGTAGGGGCTGGCTCTGGGCAGGCAGTCCCTGGAGCCCTGGGTGACAGACACATCCACCACAGTGATCCAGTACGGCTTCACCACCATCTTCGTGGCCGCCTTTCCCCTGGCACCACTGCTGGCACTCTTCAGCAATGTGGTGGAAATCCGCCTGGATGCCATCAAGATGGTGCAGCTGCAGCGGCGGCTGGTCCCTCGCAAGGCTAAAGACATAGGTCAGGGCTCGAGGAGACAGTGGTCAGGGGCCTGGGAGGGGCACTGGCAGGACCCCCCTAACCCTCACAGACAGCGCCCTAGCCCAGTTCAGCCTATGAACTCTGTCCTAGGAAAAGACGGGGTGGATGCCCCTTGCAGGCCCTCCTGAGAGCCACCAGGATCTGGCTAAAGGGTGGGAAGCCCAAGGGTGGCCAGGCAGAGGAGCTGGGCTCTGAGGGCATGGGGGGTCCTCTGGTTGGGGGAAGGAACTGGGAGCAGGAGCCTCAGGCACCTAGATTGGACCCTCCAGATGGATGGGTTTGGGAACAGAGGAGCTCAATGTGGGGAGAGGGAGAGGTCTTGGGAAGGAACCCAGCCTTGGGTCCAGGTTGAGGGGTCCTGCCCTGGGTGGGACTCAGGGGTGGAGCAACCCTGGTGGTGGTCCTAAGAATTCAGGAAGATGGAGGACAGGGACTTAAGTGCCCCTCTCTGTCCGTGTCAGGGTGAAGGGGTGGTGCAGGAAAGCTGAGCCCCTGCCATGCCTGTCTTGGCCGGGGATTTCCTAGTGCAGAACTCACCTCCCATGGGTGCAATAAGGTGCTATAGGCTGAGACAGGACAGCCCCGGCCAGCCTTGGGGATACCTGTCAATCTGGGTTTGAGATGCCACACCCATTTACCCACTGCTGTGGCCCAGGGACGTGGCTGCAGGTACTAGAGACCATCGGCGTGCTGGCGGTCATTGCCAATGGGATGGTCATTGCCTTCACGTCTGAGTTCATCCCCCGCATGATCTACAAGTACCGCGACAGTCCGTGCCGAAAGGAGCCTCCCCAAAAAGTCGAGTAAGGCCCCTGAGAAGCTGCCTACAGCTAAATCCCGGGAGCCCAGGCCCTCTCTCCTGAGAGCAGCTGGATGCTGCCAGGGGTACTTCCTGCCCTGCCCTTCTGACCCATAGACCCTGGGTGGAGCCCATTATAACAGGTAGACTCCATTGGAATCTGAGGCTCGATCAGAACAACTGGCCTCTTAAGCTGGACCCTCCGGAGAGGCAGGCAGAGCAGAGCCACATCCAACTTCTTGGGCTCCCCAGGGCCACTGTGCTACAGCCCAGGAATGAGCCCCTCAGCCCTGCAGCCAGTGGCATCCTGAGGCCCCATGGCCTCTCCTGGCCCCCAGTGGCCATGTGTGGGGAGACTGAGGAGGCCAGCTGGGGTGTGGCCCATCCCAACTACTCCAGGAGATACATCCTCTGACCTGAGCACCATGTGCCCAGCCTCCTCTCTCCTCCCCAGCTGCCTCACTGGCTATGTCAACCACAGCCTCTCGGTCTTCTTCGTAAAGGACTTCCAGGACCCCAAGAAGATGCAGGCCTCAGGAAATGTGACCGAGTGCAGGTTCGGAATCCTCCACCCTGTGCATGCTCTCTGAGCTCCTGAACCCTGACCTCGGTACTTCCTACCCTAGGTACCGAGACTACCGCAATCGCGATCCCCATGACAAGTACAACTTTACTGAGCAGTTCTGGTTCCTCCTGGCCATCCGCCTGGCCTTCGTCATCCTCTTTGAGGTAGGCAGAACTTGGGGGGTGTCTCAGTGGGGACAGCTCTCTTTAGTCCTACCCCTGGTACCAAGACCCCTACAGGGTCTCAGCCTGACCATGATAGGCCTCCACTCCTTCCCCTAGCACGTTGCCTTATGCATCAAACTCATTGCTGCGTGGTTCGTTCCCGATGTCCCCCAGTCAGTGAAAAATAAGGTTCTGAAGGAAAAGTATGATATGCTGCAGGAGAAGCTACGGTAGGGAGAAAGAGGGATGGACTGGGGCAGGCCTGGGCCTGGGGGAGACACTGGGCTGTGGTCCCCACAATCCCACTTTGCCTCCAGGTCCAGCTCCAAGAGCACAGATGTATAGGTGGCCAGAAGCAGGCGGAGAGACACTGGATACCAGGAGCCACCACCTGCACATCCAGTCTTGTTTGTGGCTGTGTGTGTGCACATATGGGGCGGATGCCTGTTAGAAGGCCTGTGTTTATGTGGGGTCCTGGGAGGCCTTTGGATATGAGGGTGGTGCTAGGGGTCTGTGTACACGCAGGTGCATATGGGGGTATTCTGGGAGGTCCTTGTCTATTGTGAGGGGTTACAGGAGTTCCACGTGCATGTGCGGCATCTGTGAGAAACATCCATGTGTCTGTGGGGCCTGCACTATTTTCCCTAGGAGACCTCAGACATGGTGCAGCACCCCAACTTTACCTCTGGGTCACCCTGGCACCCACAGATTTGGGGGAGTTCCTCATGTAATCTCAGGCAGCAAAGTTGGCTCAAGTTTCCCGGGTCTCCTGGACTTCTCAGCCCGAGGCTTGACAACATCCCATCTTGCTGATGCCACTAACCCGAAGCCCAGCCTTCTGGTTGTCCCTGGAGGCCCTGGATCTCCCAACCAAGCAGAATTTTCTGTAATAAAGTTAAACCTGCCTGTGTTGACTTCTGAGCCTCAGTATGATAGAATCTAGGTCTCCTGGGGGTGATGTCTACCTGAGCTAGAAGGAAATCAGTCTTTGAGGTTGGAAAGTTGGGAATGTGGCACCCCAGGCTACCCTGTCCTTCCTGCACCTCGGGTGGTGGTGGTTATGGGTTGGGGGCTCAGGACAGGATTCCCTGGAGGAAGGGAAGGGCTGAAAAGAAGCCTTGGGGCGATGGGGTCTGCTGAGCTCGGCTCTGTGCTTCCAGGCCAGCTGGTCTGGCCGGTTTGGCCCCTATCCTAGGGGGGCAGAGCCAAGAAGGTCTCCAACGCCAGCCTCAGGCGCCCAGCAGGACACTGGGTCCGCCCAGGCGCTGGCGCGGGGTGGGGCTGCACCTGCCGCTGCGCACCTGGGCCAGGTAAGAGGCCCCGCCCCCGAGGCTGGCAGCAGATGAGCGGCTGTCGCGACTCAGGCCCACCGAGGTGAGTGGAGGTCGCGGCCCCCGAAGCCGCTGCAGGCCTGCGTGGTGCACCATGGACTCCTCCGCGCGGAGGAGGCTTCGGCGCGACGGGCGCGGTCCTGCAGGAAGTGGCGCGGCCCGGGAGGCTCCCGCTTGCCCCGGAAGCCCGAGCACCGCCCGCCTGCCGCCTGCGTTGCAGCCACGGGCTGCCTTTCCGTGACTGACGCTGGGTCCTTGTGACCTTCGGTGCCAGGGCTCGGAGAAGGGCCCGCAGGACACCACCGTGCCCCGGAGCCCGCCGGCTTCCTAAGGGGACCCCTGAGATCAGCCACCCAGATGGAGTGAGGGCCGTGGACTTCAATGGGGGCCAGGGTTGGCCTGAGGGCACCCCAGGACCTGACCGGAGGAGTGGGCAGGGGTTTAGACTCAGAGGCCTTGTAGTGCCTCAGAAGCACCAGGGGATTTGGGTTTATGTGTACCCGGCAGAGCTGTCCTGGGGCCGATGGACATCAGCAGAGGGAGAGAAGGAGAGGGGCGGCCGGTCACTACTGTGGCAGCCAGTGCTGAGATGGTGACAGACTAGGTGCACAGAGCCCTGAAGGGTGGCAGGCTCTGCTAGAGGCTGAGGGGTGGCCGGCAGGGCCTTCCTTTCCTGTCTGGCCCGCGTGCCTCAGTTTTCCGGCCATCTCCTCGAGGAGCTGACGACCAGTTCTGTGCTTACAAGGGCCGAGTGGCATCTTCATGCACCAGCTCTAGCCAGCACTGAGGAAACTAAGGCAGAGGTGGGGGTCCAGCTGGTTCCCTGCAGCTCTTCTTGGCCCTGAGCCCAAGGTGCACCTGCACACAAGGCTCTGAGCACCAGGCCACAGGGGGTTGAGTTAGTCTGGGCTGTTTGGGGAAGGAGGCAGGAAACATGTGTTGTATTGAGGTGCTTCCTGGTGGGCTCAGCTAGGGGTGGGGAGACTGGAGGGGAACCCCAGGATGAAGCCCTGCCCTGCAGGGGTGTGAACAGGGCCAAGGGCTGGAGGACACCCTCCTCTGAGTCTATGGGCAATGCCAGACACTTGTCAGTGAACCCCCAGGCCCAGATCAGCCTGGGTGGGGAGTCTGTGGTGATAACAGAGACCAGCTGCTCCCCACTCTGCTCGGAGGCAGTACTTGCAGCCTCCTGTGTTTGCCTCTACCTGGAAAAGGGGCCCTGTTCTTACCCCTGCCTCAACCTGAAGCAAGGTCCATGAGACACCATAGCCTGTATAAGTGCTCACTCCTGTTCCTGGGCCAGGGAGCTCTGCTCAGGGCCCACTATTGGCTGGGAGTGTCTGAATCCCCTTCAACCAGCAGGTCAGAGGTCAGAGACCCTGGGGCTGCTCACTCTGAGGAGAGCGATAGAGGACTTCACTCCTGGGTATAGCATGTAAGTGGCATCTGGAAGGCAGGTCCTTCTGTCCAGATGGCCCTGTGTGTGTGTGACTACAGGTCTCCTTCTGGGACCCCTGCACATCATTCTAAACCTCTGCCCCCCTGCATTCCTACCCACACTGCACACAGGGAGATGAAGGCCTGGGGGGCTGGGGCAGCCCCGGAGGAAGGGGCCGCCTGACTCAGAGTTACAGGAAGAAGCTGCAGGCGGGGTGAGAGCCACCAACTGCCCGCCCTGCCAGAGGAAGAGGGGGGGTGCCTGGGTGGGGTTTAGGTTTAGGAGAGGATGTGACAGCAACGCCAGGAAGCTACGGGGAAAGTTCTGATTAAAATACATCAACAAAAGCCAGGTCTTCACTGAGCTTGGCTATGTATCACAGGCAGCTGAGGATCTGTGGACACTGCCTGTGGCCCAGCTGAGGGGAGAGCTTGCTTCCAACCACATGAGTGACCTCAATGACCGACTCCTTCCAGGAGGAAAGAGCTGGAACCAGGTGACCGTGCCCTGCCTCTGGTCTGAGTGAGCATGTGGAGCTGGGCCTGTCCTTGAGGCTGGGCCTGAGGGAGGTTGCAGTGCTTGGGGTGCATGCTTGCCTGCACATGTGTGTGTGCGTGCGTGTGCACGCACGAGTGGCAGCAGGAGTGCAGTGTGTGTCACGGGGTGTTCATGGCCGATCTTGGGGGGAGTATGGCAAGTGTGTGTAGCTAGTCCTGTGAGTCAGCACCAGGGTGTAGGTGTGCCAGGACCAGCTCAGTGCCAGAAGGGAAGGGAACCAGCTGCCCCTAGGTCTGATTATTTCACTCTGGCCTTGCCTTCCAGGAATGTCTAAAGTATACTTTCAGGGGGTTCAAGATCTATCTGGCCTTGGGGATGTCAAGAGGTCACTTTAGGAGATGCTTCAGGTGCTGTTGGGCTGGCATTTCGTCCCCTAGTCATGCTGTGAAGGGTCAGGTGCATGAGAAGTTGTGTCTTCTTCAGCCCCAGTGGGGGGTTATCCTGTGTCAAGGACTTTTGCAGACCTGCCCTCCACCCTGAAGAGCTCTAGAGGGACCCTCTTGCCAGCCCCAGTGGGAAGGTGCTGTACCCCTTCCAGAGGGAATTGTGTCCAGTCAAGCCTGAGGTTCCTAGCTGTGTCACCACACGCAAAAGGAATGGGGCACTGGCTAAGATGCTCCTTCCTGCAAACCCTCAGGGCATCAGGGGCAGACATGTCCTGGAGAGCCCAGACACAAGGGCCAGCCCTTGATCTCATGTCCCTGCTGCCATGTGTCCACTCCACAGGAAGGGAGGAGATGCTTGACAAATCCCTGTTGTATAGACAGGTGAACCCAGGGCCCTGGGCTGCCAGAGGCGAGGCTCTTGACACCTCTCTTTGCAGCCATGTCACTGCAAAGCTTTTCAGCCACAGGGTATGTGTCACTGCCACTGTAGGCTGAGAATGGCCCAGAAGAGTCACCTGGGGTGGGGGGTGCAGGAGAAGCGGTGCGCAAGAGGCCCTCTGGTATACCCTCAGGGGCCAGGTGATCCTCAGGGTTCCATGGGGGTGATATGTCTACATGCATCTGTGTACATTTGCTTGCACCCAGAACAAAACCCCACAGCAAAGAGCAGGCTTGGGCCAGTCAGGTAGCCAGGTACCTACCACATGCCAGGGACACATGGTTCATATCTCCCAACTACCAGGTCTGGCCATATACTCCAGGCACAGCAGTCCACTGCAGAGATAGCCAAGAAGGAGGCCAACTGCCATCTTGTGAGACCAGGTCCCACCAGGTACTTGTCCATAGCACCCCTGGGTCTCATGGTGGCCCCAGGGTGTATGAAGGTGGTCCTGAACTTGAAGTCCTCTTTCTGTGCCTATGGCTATGTGAGGCAGTGCCCATTGTGGCCACGTTGGTGCTTGGCACTCATGAGATTGGTTGGGGTAGTCAGGGCCAGTGCCACCTGTGGCCGACAGTTACTGGTTAACTCATGCTGTTCCTGTTTAACTTGCACTCGGGATGGCAGCAGCCTCTGACCTGTCCAGGCAGCCTGTCCAACCAGCCACAAGGACAGAGACAGACCCTGCCCAGCCCTTCGTGAACCCATCTGCTCTGTTAAGGAGCCCTGTGGAGCAGAGGTGGCCCCAGAGTCCAACCTGATTTGAAGAGGCCCCAGCCAGAGCCCATGGCAGGTAGGTGGCTCAGGCACAGACAGGCCTAAGTCTCCACTTCCACCCCTGCCCTTCAAGCTGGCTCCACACTATGCCCTCTACTTTTACCTTAGATTCTCTATCTGGATAGTTGCCATGAGTACAAAGGTCTTTCTGGTCACCTCTCCCCTGCCCTGGGCCATGATTCCAGTGCAGGTGGTAAGGTAGGTCTCAAAACACACACACACACACACACACACACACACACACACACACACAAGAAAGTTTAGGCCTTAAGTAGAGGCTTGCCTGTGGGCAGCAGAGGGTCCTAGAATCCACGCTCCCAGCTGTTATCCCTGGGGAAGGGGCTGGCACACCCAGCATGTGCTTTCTCAACGCAGTGGTGCCCATACTTCCTGCAACACCCCCAGCAGAGGAGACCAGGCCAAGGGATGCAGTGTCTGGCTCCTCCTTTGGAGTGGGAAGTGTGGGTGGCTGGACTTCTGTCCTGTGTGGATAGTCCCTGTATACTGGGCTGGGTCAGCTCAGCAATGACTCTGGCCACTGCTCTGCCTGCAGCTGTACCCTTTGAGGCCAGGGAACTCACATTTAGAACAGCGAGAGCACTCAAGACTGGCCACAGTTGGGGGAAGGGTGCTAGACGCAGGGCCCTGTCGTGTCCCCCCCCCCCCTCCCCGTTCTCATGGGTGGGCCTATTGTGATCACCAAGCAACATGCCACTTTCCCACTACCCTTTTTCCCCTGGACCATGGACCATCTGTGGATGGGGTGGGAGTCCAGTATCCTGGCATGGCTGATGTGTGGTGTCTTCTCTCTGCAGGTGTCTGTGACAGGGCCCCAGACTTCCTCTCCCCAGCTGAAGACCAGGCCCTAGGGCCTTCCCTGGGCAGTGCAGTCACTCTAAATTGCACGGCTTGGGTGGCCTTTGGGCCCCACTGCCCCCCACCTTCAGTCCAGTGGCTAAAAGATGGGCTTCCACTGGGAAACATAAGCCACTACCATGAGGACTCTTGGTAAGAGCTGGAGGGTGTAGGATCAGGTGGCCACCTGGACATACCCCTGCCAGTGGCCTCTCTGGTCTACAACCTATCTGTAATCACCTGTATATGGCTGGGCAGTGACTGGCCAGACCTGACATGGCAGAGTGCACCTGTGGATATGGGTGACTGTGGGGACAGGTCCAGGGTCTTCATGCCCCTTCTGGACACTCATCTTGTAGACTGCCGGGGCTATGGGTCCTAGCAGGATCAGGCCCCGAATGAAGCACTGTCTATCCAGCCAACTCTGGGGTCAGAAGACCCCAGGATCTAGACCCAGGATCAAGGTGACTGACTGGAAACAGGTCCTCAGCCTTCCAGATTCTGGCCATTTCTCTTAGCCTACGGCCCAAGAACTGCCCAGCAGCCTCTTCTCGTGAGCACCAGAAGGTGTGGCTCTGAGGCATGTGGTGATGCTCAGCTCCAGGTGAGGCTGGGCTTGGTTTCCTTAGGGTCAAGACCAAGTTCTCAGAGGTGCTTGTGTCCAGTGTCCTGTGCATCAACGTGACCAAAGCTGAGGACTATGGGATCTTCACTTGCTCTGTCCACAATGTCAGCTCCTCCTCCTTCATTCTTCAGAGAGCTGGTGAGGGGGAGGTGCGTGGGGGGTCGGGGAGCCTGGGCCTCCAGGCCTGAGGGGCACTGATCCAGGCCGGCGCTGTCCGCAGGCCTGGCGGACCATGTGGCTGCGGTGCTGGCCGCCCTCCTGGTCATTCTCCTGCTGCTCGCGGGGCTGCTCTACGTGAAGTGTCGTCTCAACGTGCTGCTGTGGTACCAAGACACGCATGGGGAAGTGGAAATGAACGGTGCGTACGGGGCAGCCGGCCTCCCTTGGGCGCGGGGTCTCCGAGGGCATCGGGCTAGGGGTGCAGATGAGGCAAAATCGTGTTTGGTGCCACTCGGGACCCAGGTCTGGGATTTGAGGCCTCGGGAGTGGCGGCGCTGACTGCCCGCTGTCTGCAGACGGGAAGCTCTACGACGCCTTCGTCTCCTACAGCGACTGCCCAGAGGACCGCAAGTTCGTGAACTTCATCCTAAAGCCGCAGCTGGAGCGACGTCGGGGTTACAAGCTCTTCCTGGACGACCGCGACCTCTTACCCCGCGCAGGTAGCGCCTCGGCCCCGCCCCCGCGTGCTCTCGGCGCCCCGCCCTCGGCGCTGGCCCCGCCCTCATTTCCCGGCATCCTGCGCTTATTACGGGCCCCCGGCCCTTTTCTAGTACTCAGCACCTCCTCCCCATCGGCGTCGCCCGCCTCCCCGCCTCAGGGCCCCCCACGCCCCAAGTCAGCCCCTCGTAGAGCCCCGCCCACCCGCGGTCCCGCCCCTCACTGCCGCTCGTACGCAGAGCCCTCGGCCGACCTCCTGGTGAACCTGAGCCGCTGCAGGCGCCTCATCGTGGTGCTTTCGGACGCCTTCCTGGGACGGGCCTGGTGCAACCACAGCTTCCGGTGTGTCCCGCGGGGTGGGGTGACGGCGGGCCACGCCTGCCGCGCCTGACGGTCCCTCCCCCGCAGGGAGGGCCTATGCCGGCTGCTGGAGCTGACGCGCAGACCCATCTTCATCACCTTCGAGGGCCCGCGGCGCGACCCTGCGCACCCTGCGCTGCGCCTGCTGCGCCAGCACCGCCACCTGGTCACCCTGCTACTCTGGAGGCCCGGCTCCGCGGTGCGCTGGGGGCGAGGGGCAGGGGACGAGGTGGGGTTCGCAAGACCGGACCCCAGAGCCTAATGGCCCCATCTGCCCCCAGATGCCGTCCTCCGATTTTTGGAAAGAGCTGCAGCTTGCACTGCCGCGAAAGGTGCAATACAGGCCGGCAGAGGGGGACCCCCAGACCCACCTTCAGGATGACAATGACCCCATGCTGATCGTGCGAGGCCGTGCCGCTGAGGGCCGAGCTCTGGAACGGGAGCTGGACCTCGATCCCGAGGGAGACCTGGGTATGCCCGCCCGGCCACACTGACCGAGAGAGCCCGGGCGGGAGGTGGGGGTGGGGAGGTGTGGGGGACTCTGAGGGCTCCTGCGACCCGTGGAGGTTTGAATACCACCCCCAGCATCCCTGGCTGCTTCACACCCACCGAGGTGCTGCGGTGGGCCAATGCCTCCCTAGGAACTTGCTGGACCTCCAGTGCCACCATGTCTGGGGGTGAGCGGGCTGTGCCCCTGGTGATCCTAAGGTCGTGGTCCTGTCGCAAGGGAGGCATGGGCAGCCCAGCCTCAGGCTTGTGTACCCTCCAGGTGTACGAGGGCCTGTCTTTGGGAAGCCACCAGCTCCACCACATGCAAGAGGGGTCTCAATGGGAGAGGGCCGTGGCAGCGAGATGGACATCTCTGATCTTGGCTCCCGAAACTACAGTGCCCGCACAGATTTCTACTGCCTGGTGTCTGAGGAGGACGTGTGACGCTTACCCCAGCCTGGGAGCCAGGAACAGGCAGGTTCCTGCCATGCAGGATGACAAACCCTGCCTGCAGCCCAGGGCCCTCAGGGAAGTGGTGTGGACCCAAGGTGCCAGGAAATAAAATCCTTTGGCTTCTACCAGGCCTCAGCTTCCTCTTCCGGGTAGGATGCTCCCCTCTCTTGTGTCCATCTCAGGCTTTCCAAGGCTCTCTCTCCACCTTTTCTTTTTTCATTCTCCCCAACACCTGTTTGCCAGTCGGTCTATCTATCCGTACCCTCTCTGTGTCCTGAACCAGCTCAGGCATGCCCTTGCAGTCTCCCCAAATCTCCCTAGCTGTCCCCAGCTCCTTAGATGGGGACAGATCCTGGAAGGGGCAGTCTTTTTAGATACCTCAAGTCTGAGCTTGTGTGGGTGTTCCTGAGCCTCTTGGACACAAAACCCTTGGGCACCTCTGGGCTTGGGGCAGGGCAGACCTGGAGTCTTGGGTGTGTTTGCTGCATGAGTACTGCTCATTGGTGCCCCTGCCTCTGGTCACACTACTTGAAAGATTATGGTTCTACTGTGACTGTGCCTCAGGCAGCTCCGAGTTGTCTGCTATTACCTTGTCCTTTTCTCTCTGTGGGACACTCCTTGCCTGTTGTGGGTCCTTTGAGCTCAGGGGCCCTGTGTGTGGCCTCGGGTGAGTGTTCTCAGGGCCAAGTGGGTGTACTTGGGGACACTGCAGGGCCTCGGTTTGGCAGCCCAGCCATGGACACACACAGGGCCAGGGCTGAGTTCAGTCACCTTTATTCCCATGCCGCTATCTGGAGGCATGGCCAGGCCATGGCCAGCCCCATCTCTGCCGCTGCGACTGGGTCACCACCCTGTGCACCACAGCAGCCTAAGCCCTGCACACCCCCTGCCCTGCGGAAGCCAAAAGCCCAGCTGCAAGCCCCATCCCCTCCTGATGGCAAGGCTCCTCACAGGTGCACAGAGGTGCCAGGGAGAGAGTGCCCTTGGCCATCAGCCTCTTCCTCCAGGCTGTCCCCAGCTGGTGAGCAGCCAGAGCTGAGCCCATTCCTTGGAGACTGGACAACACCACCTTCTCTCCAGGTTGCCTTGCCTATGGGCCAAGGAAGTCCTCTTTCCGATAGCCTTTCTGCATGGAGAGGGGCTGGAGTCAGGGCATAGGTCTGTGCCTACTCGGCCCTGCTGGTGGGAGACACTAGGCCTATCACAGTGTGCTGGGGATAGCCGGGGGCGTGTCCCACCCCTGCGGTGCCATTGCCCACACTCAGCTATTCCCCCTCAGCTCTGCCTGCTGAGCTGAGCAGGACGTACCGCGCGAAAGTCTCGGTGTAGCTTGCTGTACTGCCACAGGTTGGCCAGGAGGCTGGAGGCCGCGCGGGAGGACTTCTCGCTGTCTGGGCTGGGGTGGTCAGAGGGTCAGGGTCAGGGGAGAAGGCAGGGTGGCCAGGTGCACCCCACCTGGCCCCAAGGCTCAGGTGGCCCTCACCTGTCTCGCTTCTTCTTGATGAAGATGAGTTTCCGGAGCCCATCAAAGTAGAGCAGGTCACGGGCTGCGATGGGACTGGCCACCACCAAGTTGTTGAGCACAGCAATGATGTTGACCAGCACCTCGGCCTGGGGAGACTTCTCACCCACACTGCCAGGCAGTTTCTCAATCAGGTGGCTCACCACCTTGGTGGCTGCAGGAGATCGGGAGGTCAGCTCCCCCACTTCTGCTCCCAGGGAGCCGGGGTGAGTGTCCCCCTTCCGGCCCCCACCAGAGGCTACCCGACTGGGGAGAATGAGGCAGAGCCAGGCAGGGGTGCCCACTCACACATCTCATCCTTGTTCCTGGCGTTGCGGGAGAGGTTTCGGATAAGCCCTGTCAGCGAGCGTAGCTGGTGCTGGTCAGCGGTCCGAACTCGGTCCAGCAGGGGGTTCAGTATTCGCTCCTGCTCCAGTGCCAGGCGGCTCAGCACGCCTGCCCACTACAGGGGAGTAGCATGAGGACAAGTGATCCCGTCACCCCTGACCACTGACTGCCCTGGTTGGCCCCGACCGCTAACCCAGTCCTGAGGCAGTATTACTTTTCTGGCTCTGCTGCCAGCCTCCATCTGTCTTGCCCTGTCTGGCCAGGTGGCCCCTCCATCCTGCTTGTTCAGGCCCAGATGTCACAGGGCCTGTTCCTGGGCCAGGTACAGGCCTCCTTCCCTGTCCCCCCAGCAGCCCATGTGACTGACCCTGCGGTCCCCTGCAGTGATGTTCTGCAGGGCCCCCGCGGCCGCCTCAGTGGTGTGCCTGTTCAGCTCACAGCGCTGCAGCAGCCGGTTGTAGAGGCCCACGATCTGGGGGCTCCACAGCCACTCCTGACCTTTGGGGTCCTTTGATACCTCGGCGAAGGTGAGCGCGTCGGCTGTGAGAGGCAGCTGTGTGGGAGATGTGGAGGGTTAGTGGGATCTGAGGTGGTCAGGGGCCCTGGAGGGTCTGTGGGGGCCTTGGATGGGGGTGTCAGAGGGCTCAGCCAGCACTTGCTGCTCCATCCCCCTACCTCACGCAGCCGCCGGCTCTGTGGCGTGAAGCAGCCTACCATCTCTCCAGGAGGTGCCCCACTCAGGTCCCTGCGGCCCCGGCCCTCAAGCCGCTGCAGGGCAGACGGCGGCATCTCATCATACAGGCGGTAGGACAGGTTCCTCAGCACACACACGGCATTCTCCACACTCTGCAGAGAGCCAGGGTGGAGGGTGGTCAGTGCGAGCCGCGGTCCCTGAGCCCCCAAGGTGTTGGCCGCCCCTCACCTTGTCCTCGCACTTGCCCACGTCCAGTGCATGGTTGATGTAGGTGACCAGGGCATCCACGAGCCCATGGCATTCCCGCATCTTCTGGCGAGTGGCCTGGGAGGCTGAGCTGAGGTTCCTGAGGAGAGAGGCAGAGCAGAGACTCCCAGCAGTCCCCCACAAGGATCCCAGGCCCAGAGTTGCTGTCCTGGGGACAAAATCCTCAGGTGCAATCCTTCTTTGTCCTATTCTTAGTCCCTACTGGACAGTGCTAGCCCTACCCATCCATCCACTATCCTGTGTCCACTACCTTTTACCTTGGGAAGAAGGAGGATGTTAGATCAGGAGACCTGACTCCCTAAGCCTGCAGCCAGGGTGATGCCCATACCTGGCAGCCACCCTGGCCTGTCCACTTTTCCCAGGCTCCAGGCTGGCTTCTCCTTTCTGTCAGCCTCAGATGAAAATGCCCCTTCTCAGTATCCTGACCCCCGCCTCTCCCAGTCAGCTGCCCCCGCCCCTCATACCTGAGGAAGCCAGTGGCATTGTAGAAGATCTCGGCCTCAGAGGCATTCTGCTGGATGAGGGGGGGGCCCCCAGTGCCTGACAGGGGGCTCAGCACCAGGTCTGTGAGCTGCTCCAGTGTGTCACGGGCCAGGCGGTCCTTCAGGTGGTCACTGGATGACAGGTTCCACAGGATCCCTGGAGGCAGCCCAGAGCTGTGGTCAGGACCTGCCCACTGACCCCTCTGGCTGTTCTGGGGATGGTGCAGGGGAGGCTCCCTACTTCCTACTCTCCCAGGAAAACCCTCCACATGACTTTTGGGGTTTGGGGGCTGGGACCAAGGCTTCAGGACAGGAGCTGGGGTATTGTTCTGTGCCATAGCACTTGCCTTGGCACGGTGAGGCCCTGGGTCTGGTCTGGAGAGAAGCAGAGAGGGAGAAAGAGACAGAGAGGACGAGAACCGCAAAGAACAGGGTTTTGCAGACCAAGGGGCAGGAGAGACACAGGAGGGGCAGGAGGGGACATGGGGAGGACAGGTAATGAGGATACCTGTGACGTTCTTGCGCAGCTCATCATCCTGCTCCCGCAGTGTCCGCAGCAGCTCAAAGATGCCATTCTCCTCCACCAGGGCCAGCTTGTTGTCGGCGTTATCATAGATGAGGTTGCGCATAGCACCTGTGGCATGGCGCTGCACCTCCTGGTTGGCATGGTTGAAGAGCTTCACCAGCCTCGGCACTGCCTGAAGACTGCGGGCCTGTGGCATAGGGATGTGGATTGTGTGGGTGCCTGCAGACCTGTCTGTGTGTGCGGGAGCAGGTGTGGATGTGTGCAAGTGTGGACAGTGATTCAGATGAATGTAGGCATGTGCAGATGCATGTAGGTGACGCAGGCATGTGCAGATGACATGGCAGCTTTACACACCTGCATACAGTGCATACAGGTGTGTGCAGGTGACTGTGATGGCACATTTGTGCCCCTCCTTTGCAGAGAGGCTCTGGGCAGAGTGGGTCTTCCCAGTTAGCATGGAGATTAGTCAGGGACCAGAGGTTAAAGGGCACAGGGACCAACGAGGGTGGCTATCAGGGGCATACATGGCAGTGGACAGCCACTGAGGGGCCAGGGGTAGGCAGTGGGGTCAGCCACCTGCTTCTTAGCTCCTGCGTCACTGTAGCACCGGTGCTGGATATAGGCTGCGCCCAGCACCTGCAGGTTGGGGTCTGAGGCCATGAGGTATTTGACTGCTGAGGGCAGGTCGATGTCATCAAAGCTGCAGAGGCAGGGGCAGGGTCAGGCTGATCCTGGGCTTGGGCCAAACACTGTGGCAAAATCCCCTCTTCCCCGGCCTGGCTGCTTACCCGCTGCTGAGTCTCTGCAGAGTTCGATGGCCGACGTAGCTATCCAGCCCACGCACATCGGGCAAGTGGCCTGAGTCAGCCAGGCTGAGGCTGAGGCTGCGCACAGATGGGGCCCTGGCCATGGGCTCCAGGCCTGCGCCCGGCACTGCCCCAGGGCCCCCACGGCTTCGGTGGCTGCTCTGGAATCGCTGCAGGGTCCGCATGGCAGGGGCACGGATGGTGCGGCTCGGGGGGCCCTCGGCAGCCTCTGGCCAGTCCAGCCCCCCGGCCCGGCTCGAGCTGGAGCTGGCCTGGCGCTCATAGGCAAAGGCCCTGTAGGTGGAGGCGCCCGTAGGCTCCAGCTGCTCAGACACCACGCTGTAGCCATCTTCCAGGCCCCCGGCGCCCAGCCTCAGCGAACGCAGGGACAGTGTGTCATAGTCAGCCCGGTTGCCAGCCCCTCCACGCTCGTGGAAGGACACAGGCCGGGTGGGCATGCCTGGGGTGGGCTGCATGCTCCCATACCCAGCCACCCCAAAGGCACTGCCCCCATTGTGGGCAGAGCTCAGCCTCCGACTGCAGCTCAGGTCCACAGCAGAGCGAGAAGACCAGGAGGCTGGGCTATAAGCTGGCTTGGCGACTGGCCGGAAGGTCTGTGGGAGGAGGAACAGGCACAGTGAGGGTGCTGGCTCACCTGTGGCTTTTCCCTCTCTAACCAGGGGCCACAGCTGCACCTAGGCCTCCCACCTGCCCTGGACGGTGGAGCTCCCACTGCCCTACCTAGGGCCGTCACTCACCGGCTTGTCCCCACTTGGCCCCTGGGATCGGGAGCTGAAGCTGGCCTGAAGGGTATGGCACTGGTTCCGGGACGAGCCTGTGGGCAGGAACAGTGGCAGGTGACCTGGCCAGATGGCAAAGCGCTGGCCTCGAGCGTCTGCCAGGCCCTTCTGTCCATGTCCTGGGGGCCACCTCTGCCTGGTCCCTATGCTGCCATAGTGTTGGCCCTAGCTGTCCCTCTCCCACAACACCCCCAGCTGTGCCTCTGCAGCCTGAAGGCATCAGACCACTCACCCGCCTGACCACCAGGAGAATGAGCCAGTGTCTTCTGCATCAGCTGTCCACTCCCCGGGCACAGTGCCCACCCTCTCCTCTGGGAAGCCAGCCCAGCCTGTCCAACCACAGTGAGCTCCCCTGGGTCTTCTTGTGCCCAGGATCTGTCCAGGCCACAGGCACAGAGGAGTGAAGCCACGCTGGACCAGTCTGCCCTAATGGGCCGTGGCCACGCCCACCCAGCAGAGCCCTGGGGCAGTGACTATACCAGCCCCATCCAGCCTCATGGGAGCCCAGGCAGTGGCCAATGGACAGGATGGGCTGCTGGACCAGTGGGTAGAGGCGGGGAGAGTGGGTGCAAGTGGGTGCAGGGTAGGTAGCCAGGGGTGCAGACAGCTGGAAACAGATGACCCTGAGAGAACAGGGCGACTGTGTGGATGGAAGGGCCTGAGGTGGGGTATCAGGTCCCTGCTTTGGGAAGGCCTCTAGAAGCATTAGGGTGGGGTGCAGGGTGGAGGTAGGCTAGAGTGGTCTGGGGGACTTCCCCACCCCATGCTCCCCAGACCCACCCTAGTTAATGACACTTCCGGGTAGGACCCATTAACCCTTTGACGCTGTGACGCCCGGCCTAGGGGGCACCCCTCAACCTTGCCTGGGGACCTTACGCCCACCCCCAAATTATAAACCTACCCCTAATTGGCAGTGTGGTCAGGTGGTAATTAGCCCCTTCCTGGGCCCTCCCCACCCTATGACCCCTGGGCATTGACCTGGCCTAGCAAGGCTGAGGCCCAGGGGGACAGGTATGACCCCAGCACCATCTGAGTCCCATTGGCTGACCCTCTTTCCCCTCTTGCCAGTGGCTGGAGCCCACCCACGCATCATGTGGACCTCTGTGCATGGATCTATCTTGCTGTCTCGCTTAGTCCCTGTAGCTGTAGACTGGCGGGGTGGGGGGTAATACATGGAGAACGATGACCCTGAACTTGCTGTGTCTGTGGGATCCTGAAATGCATGTATACACACACACACACACACACAGACACACACACATGCACACAGAGGCACCGGCACCCCTGCCTGCATTTTCATGGAGATCTGGGTCACTCCCGCCAGCTGGCCCCTGAAATTCCTCAGGGACCCCTGGTCTAGACAGCCCTGGCTGTGGCCCAACCCCCCCTCCCACTGATTCTCTCTGGGTGGGGACTCTGGTGGCTCTGAGAGGCATGTTAGCCTCTGTCCCCTGGCCCAGGAGTATGCCTGTTCCGGGTTTGCTGATGGAGGGGCCTGATCACCATGTGTCTGACTTCTCATCCGCTCTGTGGGGAGGCTTGAGGCCCAGGAGACAGGCGGGTCTGGCCAGAGGGCTCCCTGGAGGTCTGGAGTCCCTGCTTTGAGCTGGGACACCCCACCCTGGGCTGCTGCTCCCTTCACCCGCTGGGGCGGGGCGGTGACTCAGAGCAGGCCCTGTGAGTCAGGGGCTGAACCACAGAGCCTGCTGCTGCGGCCTCTGCCCTCACACTGCCACACCCGCCCGGCGTCTCTGTGGGGGCCACCTGAGTCCCTGCTGCCCATCGCCCACTTTGCCGTACTGCCTACCTCTGGTGGCCTCGGCGGCGGTGGCACCCCCAGACTCAACAGCCCCGTTGTGCCGCGTCTGCTGGCCCAGCTGCAGGAGGCGGGCTCGGACCTGCTCCTGGACGCGCGCTGCTCGAAGCCGTTCTGCCTCAGGGCCCTCGGCACCCCGGCGGTCGAGCTGTAGGTCGGAGGGCAGTGCCAGGGAGCAAACGCCAGCCTCGGGCTGTAGGGCCGAAAGCAGGAAGTTACTGTCCTGCATGGTGGCCAGTTGGCCTGGCCTAGGCCTCTTTGTGGTCTTGACCCTCCAGGCTCTGTCCCCAGAGTCCCCTCCCTGGCGGCTGGCGCCCCAGAGCCCGGCCTGGAGACAGACGCGGGCTCGCCCAGCCTGAGCTCCCTGTGGGCGGGGACACCTGGCCAGGTGGGTGGGAGGGGCCCTGCTGCCTGCTTAAGGTGGAATTTGGGCGGAAGAACAGGCCCCAGGCTCTCTCACCTCCTGATGATCTCCCATCCCAGGTCAGGGCCACAGCTTGGGCCCTTCTTGCTTTTAGCCCATGAGGCCCCACTGAGTCCCAGGGTGCCAGCAACCTGGGTGCGAGGGACACAGGGTGCCTGCCAGGGGGTTAGAGCCTGCTACCCAGCCTGTAGGAAAAGGGTATCCTAGTCTGAGCTGTTGAGGCTCCAGGGATCAAGGGCCCCAGCCGGGTTGGCACCCAGAGCTACTGTAAGGGGTCTTCTGGTGAGGAAAAGGACGGCCTGAGTGCTAGCATTGGAGGTGGACCCACAGAGGGCCTTGCCCAGTTCTCAGAAGCAGTGAGACCCCAAGACCCATGGACCCCAAGCTCAGCCACCCCCGACTCTTAGGTGGACCCTTCTCTGGCACCTTTGCCCACTGCCCCCAGGCCTGGGGTGGGCGGCCGTTCCCAGCACATGAGTCAGGCACAGGCCAACTCGGGCAGGTGGGGCTGCCCCAGGGGGTTGACTCAGAGGGGCCAGCACTCATGTCTGTGCCTGTCCGGCTGGGGGGCAGGAGCTGGGGGTCTTGGGATAGACAGCTGGAAGAGTCAGTGGGACTGGGGGTGGCATGCCCTGAGGTGTTCTGGGTCAGGCCCAGTGTCCAGGCCAGGGCCCTGGGAGATAGGATGGGGTTGGGGGCAGCTGTGGAGAGGCACAGGAAGGCTGGGGTGGCTCCACTGCCCTCACTTCTGATGCTGCCCCAGACCTCCCTGTGACAAGCTCTAACCCTCACCCTGCCAGGCTTTTACCTTGGTTGGGGGCAGGGGCAGGAGCAGGGGCAGGGGTGAGGAGGTGGTTCGAGTGTGGGCTCCATCCCCTGGGAAGGTGCAGGACCCGGGCGGGTGTAGCCAGGGTCTGCCTGGTGCTGGGTGGGACAGGGTGGGGCACCTACCCTGCTGGTGGTCCAGCCCCTGCCAGCTCCCTGGCTCATCTCAGAGGACGCCGCTGCTGGCCGAAGTGTCCTGGGCTCCATCCCGGGTCTCTGGTTCGGGCAGCCTCTTGGCAACTGCATGGAGGGGCATGGAGGGCGGGGTGGGAACAACGCACACCCAGCTCATCCAACCGGTTGCTTCCCTGGGAGACGTGTTTCGTGTGGAAAAATCCTGGGAGACAAGTTTGTGCGGCCCCGACGGCCTGGAGGCACACGCCTGGCACTCACAGGCAGCCTACCTTTCTCTGGGCCCTGGGCCACCTGGGGTCCTGCAGGGCCCTCCTCCCAGCAGTCCAGGCTGTGGGAGGGTGGGCAAGGCCAGGTAGGAGGTAGAACTGCCCTGAGATACAGGGGCTGTGATCCATGTGGGTGTGGCCAGAAAGGGGAGCGGCACCTAGCTTCAGAGACAGTCTTACTGGAGACAGGACTGGAGGCCCAAGGGGCTGGGGTCCATGGCACTGTCCTACTGGGCTGCCTTCCACTGGGCAGTGAGTGCGAGTTGTGCCGGCCTTCCTAAGGATGCATGGACCGGGCCATTCATAACCCCAGGCTCCAGACCACGGGCCTGGCCTCGAACCTGGTAAGGGGCTAGAGGGCCTTGGTTGTGGGGTGCAGGGAGGAGGGGGTGCCATGGCTCTCAGCACCAGCCTAGGATCTGCATTCTGTGACCAGCCTCCCTTTGTCCTGCCCAGGACAAAGGGCTTCATGGTCTCCTGGAACCATGAGAAGGGACCTGGGGAGGAGGGGAGGGGTTCTTGGAGGAGGCTCCTGGGGCAGTGAGGTCAGGGATGCCCAGGAGGCTGTTGCTTCCCACCCCTTGGGGAGGAGGAAGGGGATGGGGAGGCTTGTGGTGCAGGCATTGCGGGCCTGCAGTGGGTGGGAGCCAGCCAGGGGGTGACGGTGGCCCTCTGAGCAGCAGAGGGCTGGGGTACCAGGGGATAGGCAAGAGGATCACAGCAGAATAGTTTTGCTTTTTTAAAATGTAATTTTAACTTTTTATTAGTACGTGTTTACAGTACACAAGGAGTCCATTCATGCGGGAGGTGGGTGCGTAGACATAACGCATCTTTGTCCTCTTTACTCTTGTCCAGCTCTTGGCCCCCTTCCTGTTTGCAGAAGTCCTATCTCCCTGTTTCCTGTTATATCTTTTATTCTGCTCTTTAAGTTATTTACACTTTGGGTTTCTCATATAAGAGAAACCATGTGATTCTTAATCTTCAGTGTCTGATTTATTTCAGTTAAGATTTTGGTCTCAAGGTGCACCTACTTTCCTACAAATAACTTGGATTAATCCTTCTTCATGACAAAGTAGTACCCCACTGTGTATAAATACCACATTTTCTTTGTCCATTCATCTGTTGATGGGCATACAGGCCATTTCCAAGAATTAGCTCTTATGAATTGTGCTGCTGTTAACAGTGGTGTACATGTAGCATGGTAACATGAAGCCTTAAAGTGTTGGGAAGATACCTAGAAGGAGAATGGCTGGGTCACATGGAATTTCTAGTTTCAGGATTGAGGAATCTCCACAATGATTTGGGTAGTGGTTGTCCTAGTGCACATTTCCCCCATATGTGGAAGGGTCTCCTGCCCTGAAGCCTCACAGCGTTTGGCTTTCTGATGATGACCATTCTTCCTGTGCTGATACGGGACCTCTGTGCTCTTTTAATTTGCATTTCTCTCATGTCCAGAGATGTTGAGCATTTCTTCATGTACTTATTGGTCATTTGTATTTCTTCTGATGAGTATATTCATTTCACTTGCCTCTTTTTTTTTTTTTTTTAGAGATGGTCTTACTCTATAATTCAGGCTGGCCTTGAACTAACTATGTAACCCAGGCTTCCTTCAAACTCACAGCGATCCTCCTGTCTCAGCCTCCTGAGTGCTGGGATTAGAGGTGTGCCCCACCATGCCTGGCTGCTTGCCCATGTTTTGACTGGATCTTTTATTTTGCAGGGAGCTGATGGAGTGAGGAGTGGGGTAAGGGTGTAGGGCTGAAGGTTCTCTCTGAACTCTGCTGGGTCTAGTTCTGCTACTTCCATTATGGAGCCTACCAGATGCCCCCCAGCCCAGGGTCCTGGGCAATAGTGTATCTGAGGTGTGGGGACCTCGCCAGCTCGAGGTGGGCTCTGGCTGTGTCCCAGATCTGCTCACCAGCTTGAGTGCCCTGAACTGGTCCTGAGCTCCCCATCGCTACCCTCCACCAGCCCAGGGTCTGGTGGGCACAAAGCCTTCAAGGAGGAAAGAAAGACAACCAGTAGGGAAGCTGGAGCCTGGGTGACACTGGGCTGATGGGGGTAGGCGGGTGTGGCACCAGGGTGGGCAGTGCTAGGTGGTGACAGAGATGGAAATTAGCATGGCCCCCACTGGTCCACACCAGCAGGCAGCTCCCAGGCTGACCTCAGCCCCTTGAGTCCTTAATCCTGGTAGGGACTACAAGAGGGTGGGGCTATGGCCACCTCCAGTTCACAGAGGGGAGACCAAGGCTCCACAGGCTGAAGGAGTTTCCAGAGCTTACAGAGCAAGTCAGCATCAGTCTCGATGTCTGACCCTGAGCAGCAGCGGAGAGGAGTCAGCTGGGGATGGGGGTCCCTCGCTGGGTCCAGGCCACTTTCTCCACCCTGGCTGGCTCCATCTGTCTGAGGTCCTGTCGGGTGTCCACAGTGTCCTTGCTCCTGAGTCCTTCTGACCTCAAAGTGCCCTTGGAGCCCTGTGCTGCCCTCCCTTAGTCAGCGCCACTGAGGACTCCCAGAAGCTGCCAGATCCTTAGCCTAAGGCAGCTGGGCTGGGGTGCTCTGGCCTCCTCTCTGCCCTAGGACTTGGCAGATATTTTGCTAAGGTCCACAGCTGGCCCTGTCTTCCCACCCTACCCAGGAAGCAGGGCCACCCACCACCCCTCTCACTTCTTGGCAGGCATTTCTCACCATTCTGGCTGAGATTTTTTTTTTTTTTTTTTTTGGTCTTTTTGAGACAGGGTCTCGCTGTGCAGTTCAAGCTGGACTTAAGCTCACTTTGTAGCCAAGGCTGGTCTCGAACTTGCAATGATCCTCTTACCTCAGCCTCCTGAGTGCTGGGATTACAGGTGTGCGCCACCATGCCTGGCTCTCTGGCTGAGATTTGCTTCAGAAAAGTTTTCCCACTATATCTGTCTGTCTGTTTATCACCTCTCCATCCATCTTCCTGGTTCAGCCTGCCTTTCTTTTTTCCTTCCTTTTCTTCCTTTCTTCCTTCCCTTTCCCTTTCTTTTTCCTTTTCTCTCTCTCTTTCTTTCTTTCTTTTTTTCTTTCTTTCTTTCTTTCTTTCTTTCTTTCTTTCTTTCTTTCTTTCTTTCTTTCTTTCTTTCTTTCTTTCTCTTTCTTTCTTTTTTTGGTCTTGCTATGTAGTTCAGGCTGGGCTTGAACTGGCCTCAAACTTGCGATGATCCTGCTTCAGCCTCCTGAGTGCTGGGATTACAAATGTGTACCACTGTGTCTGACTCTCTTGGCTTCTTTATTGGTGGTTTGTCACCTGTCTTTTCAGGGGTCACTTTTGGGTTCTTTCCATCTTACTGTGTGTGCTTTCCCCCAAGTTTGTCTCCTGTGTTTTTGTATGGGTTTCCAACAGTCTTCTAAAGTTGCTAAAATGGCTGTTAGAAAGGTTTTAGTGTTGCCCCATTTCTTAATCAGCTGATGTCATAACTTTTACCTCCATCATTTTCATCACTGATCTTTTAGAATGTCCCCAGTGCCAGCTCTGACCCATTGCTCCTGTCCTGGGTGCAGCTGTTTCAGGCTTGCTTTTTGGACCACTCTGTGCACAAAGCCAGCCCCCCAACCCCCACCACAGAACTCCTTTTTCTGACTTTATTAGTATTTATTTTTTTCCTCTGCAGCACTTTCCACCAGCTGACACGACATTGCATTTGATTTCAATCCAGAGGGGCTTCAGTAACCCCAGCACATGGTGGGTGCCCAAGGGACGGTCATTGAAAGGGACTGACAGATCGAGACATGAGCGTACTCACTGCCTGCAACTGTCTGGTGTCCTTCTGCTTCGAGGTGATTCTGACAGGTGAGTTCTGTACAAGTGTGTGAGCCTGTTGCTTACATTTCTCTTCACCTTTCCTCATCTTTTATCGTTCTTTTGTAGCACATATTCTACAGTGCTACTTCTTTTCCTATTGCGCAACATTTGAGTGGGGAGAGTTGTAAACTGGTTACTCAGGCGGGGGCAGCATGGGCATGTGGGGCTCTGGGTGGTCTGCGGTGGGGCTGGGCCTGCCGTATTAGTCCTTCTGCCCTGTGGACTTGTGAGCACACATCATGGAGACTTGGTGTCCTGCCGGCTGGGCAGCAGCCAGTTGCCCCGTCCCTGTTCCCTCCACTAGGACCCTCTCAGGGCCAGATGGGGGCATCTATCGGGTCCTCTTTCAGCTTCACCCTTCCCCTGCCCTGTGTCCTGGTGAGCTGTGACCTGAGGGTGCCATCTGGGCCCATCTCCGGGAGGGCTGGGCACTGGGCTGTGCTGCTCCCCTTGGCCTTGAGCATGTTCACGTCCTGACCCCCACACTGCCACTGCTGCCACGGGTGGCAGAAAGGACTTCGTGAGGTGCTGTGGTGGAATTCATCTTGGGCCACCTGGGAGAGCCATGGACACCGGGGTCCTTGCAGAAGGAGCAGGAGGGTCAGCCTCTGAAGAAGACGTGAGGATGAAGCAAGGGAGAGATAGAGGCCAAGACAGACACACAGAGACTGAGACAGAGACAGGAGCAGACAGCAACAGATGGAGAGAGAGACAGAAGCAGACACAAAGATAAACAGAAACCAATAGAGAGACAGAGGGCTACCGAGATGGGAAGAGACAGAGCACGCCGCCCCAGCGGCCACACTGCGGGCTTTTGAAGATGAGAGGCATGAGCCCATCAGTCTTGCTGTTGTCCAAAGGAGGTGGCGCTGCTGAGTTCTGATTTCAGAACTGCTGATCACCCAGAACCCTGGTCACCCTGCGGTTTTCAGGTGCTGTGCTCATACTCCTTGTTACCCAGCCACCAGGAGCTCACTGGCCTCTCACCAGGACCTGGCCAGGGAGGATGGGGCTGGGACTCTGATGGGGGTGTGTGGCAGCTTGGCACTGCCCAGCCTCAGGGTCTTCCTGCCATGAGCACCCCAGTGATGGCCTAAACTGGTTTGAGGTCATCTTTCCCTCCAGAACTGGGGATCACCCTAGCTGGAGCTGGGTGCTCTGTTCCTAGCGACCCCAAGTCCTCCCTGTACCCCATGCCCCACCCTAGAGGCTGGGGAAGGAGAGCAGAGGCCACACCCATGGGAGGAGGCCCAGCACTGGTGTTTTCAGCAACGCTGGGAGGTGGGGCTGGAACTGCTGTCTGGGCCCCCAGAGGAAGCTGTGGCAGGGGGTATGTGTGGGGGGCCAGGGAGGGTCACAGAGGGAGTGGGCAGTGTCTGGGCTACCTGGAGAAGAAGGCACAGAGGACAGGTCAGAACTAAAAAAAATATTTCATTTCATTCTGAATAAAAAACGGAACAGACAGTACTCTTGGAAATCCTGAAAACAATGTCATCGCTACTGAAAATTTCACAGAAATCATCTCGGAGTGTGGGGACTGAGGCAGTCTGGCTGGCCCACTGGGAAGGCTGCCTCTGGGGAGGCCACAAGGGTCTGGTGGGCCGAGGGGAGGCACGCGGTGGCTGTGCCCCTGGGACTGGGCTGGACTGACCAGCCGTCCTCAGGCTGGCTCCCTGTGGGTGCTCTTGTGGCTGCGTGTGCCCCACATGCCTCGCTTGGAGTGGTAGTGGTGGTAGAAGTTCCGAAGTCGGAGTCGCTCCACCTCCAGCCCCGCCTGCAGGACCCTGGGGACAGGTGGATGACGTCAGTGTCTCTTCCAGGGGCTGCAGGACCTGGCGGGAGGGCTTCTGGGAATGGGGTAGGTGAGGAGAGGTGGGCAGGGCCCTCAGCGCATGGCCCTGCCGTCTCATCCTCCCATCCAAGGAGGCCGGGTGGCTCTCCTCCCGGGGAGGGGCACAGTCACCTGTCCAGGAGCTCCCAGTCCTCGCCCCCCCACTGGTCTCGGAACTCCTCAGTGTTCATGCCTCCCACGCGGTCGAAGTCCGACTTGTAGATCCCGAAGAGGCCAAAGCCATTCACCTCCCAGTAACCTGGGGTGTGCGTGTGGGTGCCTTTCAGATGCAGTTGCTGCAAGACCGAGTCCTCCCTGTGCCCCACACCCCACCTCAGAGAAGGATGAGGAAGAACCTCAGAAGCCCAGTGCTGGGTCAGGGGTATGGTGCAGACTGTGGGTGCTGGGGGTTTGGCAGCATCCTGGGGACTCTGAAGTCCTGCCCAGGGGTCTCCTGGGCTCAACCTGGTGGTCAGTGAGGGCCTGGCATTGAGGGGGTGCTCAGGTATTACCATGTGGGTTGCGAGGGGAGCTCCCACAGCCTAGGCGCATGACCACCGGGGCAAAGGCCAACGTGCCCTCCACACAGTGCTTTCGGATGCTGTCCAGGATGCTGGGTGGGAAGTGGATGTGCAGGTCACACAGGAAAACGATGCTGCTGGGGTCCTGGAGGGCAGAAGATCTGAGCCCATGCTGTTCGGAAACCCCTCCCTGCAACCCCATTCTGCTCCCCAAGCTCCCCTGGCCCTCAGACCTCCACTGCATCCACTCCAGCTTGCAGCCCGGCAGAGCGCTCAAAGTTCCCGGTTCTTCTCAGGTACTGATACCTGGGGAGGAGGAGGGGCCGCTGGCACGGTTCTGGCAGCAGGATCGACAGCCCCTGCAGTCCTGGCAGGCTCTTACCTGGGCAGCCGTGCCTGGCGCAGGGCATGCTCCACGTCCATGTCCTCGCTCTCGAAGTCCACTAGGACGACGCTGAAGCGCGAGTCCCCAGTGCGCGCATGTAGTGAGGCCATGTCCGCCAGAAACTGTACCACCCAGCGCGCCTGGTTCTTAACTGTAGGAGGCGCGGGGTCGGCAGAGTGACCTCGGCCCCCACCAGCCCCGCCGCTCACCCGCCTGCGCACCTGGCACGATGAAGTGCACAGCAACATCCTGGCGCCAGGCTAGGCGCAGAGGGCGGCAGAGCTCAGGGCGGCCATCGGGGCGCGTGGAAGTGGCGGGCGGAGGCTCGGGGCTCTCTCCTTCCTCCCCCTGGGTGTGCGCACCAGGCAGGCGCAGGAAGACAAACTCGGACAGGCGCAGGCGGCCTCCACCGCGCTCCTGCAGCTCTAGCTCCAGCAGAAAGCGGCTGCCTCGAGCCGAGTCTCGGCGCTTCTCCACATTCACGATGCGCAGGAGCGCGAAGCGCCTTTGGGGAGAGGCGGGGAAGTCAACTAGGCGAAAGCACACTTCACCCTGCTTTTCCCTGGATAGAAGGCACGACTCCCCATGGCTTCACCAGGCCAGAGTGGGACACAAGAGCTGAAGCTGTACCACACCTCTGCCCAGCTTCCTAGGCTTCACCCCCAACCCAGACACATACCGCCCTCCCCTGGGCAGAGAGAAGCACAGCAGCTCGGTCTGGTAGGTGACCCTGAGGACTGACTGTGCTTTCCTCGTGCGAAACCTTCGCTGTCGTCTTTTCTGTGTCCTGGGGTACCCTGCCTACTTCTTGCCCTAGTCCTTCCAGTTCCTCCTCTTCAAGTCTCTGGGTCCTCTCCTACCACATGACTCCTCTGGCCTCCAACACCCAGTTCTGGAGGGCAGAAGATCCAGGACTCCAGGAGTGGCAAGCTGTGGTGGCACCTGGGCCCTTCCCCTTCTCCAGCCACTCTACCTAGGCCTGGGCAGGGCTCCTCCCTGGCCCTAGACTGTTCGTCCTGTGCCCTGCTCTCCTTTGGTGGCCAGTACCGTTTGCCCTGCAAGCCCACTAGTGTGACCTCTAGGGGTCCAGACTCCCCGCCTCAGACTCTGCACTCCCACTATGCTCTCCCCAAGTCATGGGCCTTCTGCCCCAAACAACCTGGTTGTTCCTTCAGAACATCCACACTCGGCACCCAAGTGGGCAAAGGTGGGGCCACAGCTACCACTACCCAGCTGGACAGCCCCTCCTGGCATGACACAGAAGCTGGGAAGCACGGGCAGCCTTGCCCTGGAGCCACATGGAGCACAGTGCCTCCCCTGGCCTTGTGAGTGGAGGATCCTGGCCACTGATAGGCTTTTCCCCAAGACAGCTGGGGATGACCCAGAGGGGTCTCCCAGCTCCCGCCTGGTGGCCACACTTGGCCTCCTGGCCCAAATGGACCTGTGCCCACACCGCTGTCTTTTAAAGGACCACAACATCGCTAGCTTGTTCTGAGAAGTCTCCCAGGTAACAAAGTGACCCCCACCCCAACACAGTATAGAAAAGCTGGGGCCTGGGACCCTCGAGAGGCCAAGGATCAAGGACAGTGGATAAAGGCTTGGATATGGGAGCAGCGCTGTGTGGGGCTCAGGGAGACCTGGAAGGAGGCGCGTGGGGTTTTGGGGTTGGGGGCGGCACCTTCAAAGGTCCAAGTCCTGCGGAGACAGCACACTCCACCTGACCCAGCCTTACCCGCCATGGCGCGCATTGAGCCGCTCCATGTACTGGGCCGCCACGTCCACGGCCTCGGCTTCGGGCAGCTGCAGATTCCCCGACACGTTGCAGCGCAGGTCATTCCAGTCCGAGCGCAGCAGCTCGAAGTCCACAGTGCCCACGCTGAACGTACGCTGCCAGTCGATGGCGTCCTCTCGCCAGCGCCCGGGCGCTCGGCCCACAGCGTCCTCCTCACTGTCCTCTGATGCTGCCTCGGCGCCCGGGGCCCCATCCTCCCCCTCCTCCTCGTCCTCGCCCTCCGTGGGCAGCTGTGGCCGGGACACCTGGGACAAGCTCAGGAAGGAGGTCACGGGCTGCACGGCTGATGAGTTCCTGCCTGGCGCGGGCCCGCGGGCCTGTGGGGCCCCTGGGGTGGGCGGCA